GCACGCGAGTGTGAGCGGGCCAGTCGCACGCGAGTGTGAGCGGGCCAGTCGCACGCGAGTGCAGGTTTAGAAACCGTGCGATGCCATCGGGTCGCCTCCGGTGACCACAGCATGAGAGTCTGATACCCAGGTTTTGTCTTGTACAACGTGAGGTCAGGGAGTCCGGTTTCGCATTTGCTTTTTTGCCCCTTGATGGGTTGGCATATAATTCCATTAAAGTAGTTCAGGTGGGTAGCTGCGTCAGCGTGCGTAGGCTGAAAAGAGAAGAAAGAAAACGCAACGTTTCGACACCCGAAGAAGGCTCCACAGCTGGAACGTTGCACTTTCTTTCTTCCCTATATAATTTCGTTGTTTAGATTTGGTGCAAAATGCCTACATTGGAATTTCTGAATACTCTTTATGATTACATGCAAAAATGCTGAACGGTAATTACTGTATTTTTAAATAAGTAATGCAATAATGGTCACTTGTTCTAAGGTGTTTAAGAACAATTTTAAAACTTAAATTATTATTCTACAGCATGTAGCCTTCTGATCTGAGACACTCGGCTTTCTGTACAATTCATTTATCTTTGCCAAGATCAGATATTGATCTGTAGTATAGCTTAACAGCACACTTGCATTATCATAAGCTTAGAAATCACATACTGTTCCAGATGTATTTATTGGCAGCCGGTACCTTTAATTTGTTAATTCACTAGAACACATCAGCTAACACTTGGCCTGTGTTCGTTCATTAGACCTAGAAGAGCTAAAGATGATATAATAATGTATTTTTCCTACCATTCAGACCATAGCCTTGTTTCAGAAAGGATGCCAGTGCTTACATCTGTAACTCTAAGTTTGCAAAGGCTGGAAAATCTGACCTGTCTGCAAACTGCACAGCTGGGTGGAGTGGCTATGTTATAAAGAGAATGACTGCCCAGAGTTCAGCAGTGTCCCAGAAGATGATGGCATTAATCAAACTGCTTTAAATAATTCAATTCAACCTTATTAAATAGTTTTTTCACAGCCACTTAGGCTTTCCCTAAAACAAAACAAGAGCCTGTGGTCTCTGTACCATTGGGCAGTATGCCTTAAGGATGTGCAAGGCTTGGAGACCTGCCTGAAGCTTGGCTGGGGGATGTTTTTTTGCTCTAGTCTTTTTGATTATTCTGAGTGAAACTGGGGGAGGCTGATGTGGGGCACCTGCTGTTGACATTGCTGAACAGCCCGTGAAAACTAAAGTTTTAAGTGACTCCTGTCCCACTTCGTTCAAGGGGTACTGTATGTGAGCGTGGGTCTGGGCTGTTCCATTTTTCTCGACACTTAAATGACTTCTTAACTAAATTAAACCGCTTCCTAGCATCCTGAACAGACAATGGACTGAGCCTAAATAGGCTGTTGTTTTAGAATTGGCATTTAGTGTTGATTTTGATCAAACCTTCTCCTCGCTGCTTGTGGCTGTAAAGGAAACAGGATGCCCACATTTAGTAACCGCACTGGAAATTGCAAACTCATTCCCATTGAACGCGTTGTAACCTGTTATCCTTTTTTTTCTGGAGTGCATTAGCATAAATTAGTGTAGTAGACAAGGAAGGCCTTCACTCAGCAACTTAACCCTATGAGTACCCTCATTTGCATGCCCTTTGTCCAAGCAGTGATTCATTCAGCCACAACATTGACCGAGTTTAATGAAAATAGAGAATCTGGCTGCAGCTAACAGTCTTATTTCCCCTCTGTTTTTGTTTTTCCCCCCTTTTCTTTCTCTCTGTCTCTTTTTTATGTTCTGGCATGCTTTTTTTCCCCTTAGCTTGAAATGGCGATTGAAAACCTCCAAAAGTCTGAAGGGATTGCATCTCACAAAAGCAGCCTGCTCAACAGCCATGTAAGTTAACCAGGAACTTTGTTAAAAGCAGAACAAAAAAAACAAAACACCCCAAACACAGCCTTTTGTCTCAACATTTCTGCCCATCTTGTGCCACCTCCCTTCCCGAGCGTAGCAGTGGAAACCTGCTTCTGTCTTTAGGGTGTTCATGATTGGCCAACCTCTTTTCCCATGGTTCATTGAGCTGCTGCAGGGCTGCCTGACCTGCTTGCTTCAGCCGTCTCTGGAATGGAGCCCCGCATGCTTTCGCCACTTCTTTGAGGGCAGCACCGCTTACATTGACAGTGCAGGATCCTTTATTTTTGTTTTGAAAGCTATACTCTGCCCTGCCACAGCTATTCAGAATGCTAAAGCCTGTATGTAACTGCAACTGTAAGTATTATCAATTTTATTCTCTTCTCAATCTGTAATGTGCTAAGTGCTATAAAGGTTAAGTGTTGTATATAGGAGGAAACCCAGCTTATCCTCCACTCATGTGCAGCCCCCACCTGGGGGGGGCCACAACACTCATTCTACACCAGCAGCCCCACTCCACAGCAGGTCAGGGGAAGGAACGGTGTTTCCAGTTGAATTATGGGGGAAGTGTTGGTAGGCCACATTGCGTACGTCCGAAGTGTAATTTTGCCCTGGCACCAGGGTTAACACTCTTCCTGCACCATCAGGTCTTGAATAACCAAGTCATAGGGGAGGCTTGATTAAGAAGTGCAGGTAAACATACTGTTCTTGTTGCGCTTAAGAAATTTGAAGATTACCCTTTGATATACAGTACATATTCTTTTATTCTTTATTTCTCCTAGATTATATACGCACAGTCTTATGTGACAATTACTGATTTGTGATGAATTAGTCTTCAGTGATGAGGGTCAATAAATGTTGTGGGATTATACAGCTAGCCACCCAGGACCCTGGCTTCTTTCAGGGAACAGCCGGATGAGATCTTTGGCTCAATTAGCTCCTAAATTCCAAGCAGGTTAGAGGGGCCGAATTACATTCTCTTGTGTATAACGGCTCTAATGTGATTTAAGGTGTGGGTGGGCACAACCTTAATTGATAGCACTTTCTGCACAGAGATGGGTAGTCTCCTTTGTTCTTTTTTGTTCTTTAATACAGCACAATCCCCTTTACTGCTGGATGTCGGTCATCTATCAATTCTGTAATGTGCCATCTGTGATTTTTCTTGCCTGATCCTAACACAGGCCCTCATGTGCACTGCATGAGGCCTGAGACGTGTCCCTAAGTACATTCCAGCTCAGAGCTGAAGTGGGGCTTTTAAAAATTAATTCTCCAGTGGGAAGTTCTACTCCTAATATTGTGCAAATTTAAGAAATGCCTGATGTTTTGGAAATTGTCAGTGGGATTAAAAGGCAGGGATATTTAACACAAGAGCCTTGTTTTGAGTGAGATCTTGTTTTTCTAGAGTAAACCTGTAAAGAGGTCTCTGCTAATCTGTTCTCACCTGACTAGTTTGTGCAGTTCACCTTTACACAGGTACACCTTTATGCGGTCTCCGTTATTTCATTTTGACTAGTTACTTGTGTTTTTGGTGCTTGGGCCTTTCTTCTTGTCTCCATTTTGGATTAACATGAACCACACTGTCAGCCACTTCAGAAAAGTCAACTTTAAAGCGACTTCAAAAGACGCTAACATACTATATACCAGGTGTACCACTTTCTCGGTGGATTAAAAAAAAAAACACCACTCAAGGATAAACTACTCTTCCAGACAAAACCGTTTTCCCAATTAATTTTTCCATCAGCACTTAACGAGCATGACACACTGATGCTGGGCGGAAGGAATGAAAAGGGACATGCAGAACACAGGCTGGCTAAAGCAACAAATCAATTAAATGGCAGAGAGACAACAATCTGTATTTTCACTCTTGTCCCGTAATCGGGTCACACCTGGAGCTGATGTGCATCTACTGCAGAAGGTAAAAGCATTAAAAAAAAATTAAAACGGCTTCAGAGGATGAGGCGTCAGGTGATCTTTCTGTGGGATATTTTAATACAAATAGAATCTACACAAGGAATTGCCACTTAAGAGTCACACATTCTTGTGTCCAGTGAAAAGCTGCAGCTGTTCTGCTACAGACTGGTCCAGGTGACAAATGGACTTCTGATATCTTCCACTTCCTCTTTCTCTTTCCAGGATTACAGGTTTTACAAAAGCTTGCCCTCCTTCCCCAGAACTACTGAGCTGTGTCCCAGTCTTTCAACACCTAAATTTTGCTTTTGGTTGGATTCTCCAACGCAAATGCTCTTTTATTGAAAGAGATCTTGAAAGGTGTTGTTTGAGTTTCAGCAAAATCATCCGTGTTAGCTATGAAACTCTGGCACAGCTTTCACCGCAGCATAATTTATTTCACCCCAAAATAATCACTCATCTGCTGTGTCTTTTTTAATGTTTGACAGGTTAATTGGTAAAACATATTTGACCATTTAGAGATGATGATGATGATAATATGCTCAGAGAAAAAGATAATCATAGCACTTATATAGGAGGAGAGTCATTTGAAGTAGAGCTCCACCTGGGTGACTCAGGATAGCCATTCTGCACCAGCAGCCCTACGGCATATTCAGTCTGGGGGAATAAAGGAGAAGTTGCTTCAGCAACTAAAAATAAGGGGGAACTTTAGGAGGAGCATATTGGACACATAACACTGGTTATGCCAGCAGCCATATCACCCTGCAACTCACAACTGGCAACCCACTGAAACTAAGCAGGTGTGAGCCTGGTCAGTATCTGGATGGGAGACCTCCTGGGAAAAACTAAGGTTGCTGCTGGAAGAGCTGTTAGTGGGGCCAGCAGGGGGCGCTCACCCTGCAGTCTATGTGGATCCTAATGCCCCATTATAGTGATGGGGACCCTATACTGTAAACAGGTGCCGTCCTTCGGATGAGACGTAAAACCGAGGTCCTGATTCTCTGTGGTCATTTAAAATTCCAGGGCGTTTCTCGAGAAGATTAGGGATGTTGCACTGGTGTCCTGCTCACATTTTCCATTGGCCCTTACCAATCATGGCCTCCTAATAATCCCCATCTCTGAACTGGCTTCATCACTGTTCTCCTCCCCACTAATAGCTGGGGTGTGGGGCGTGTACTGGCGACTATGGCTGCCGTCGCATCATCCAGGTGGGGATGTAAAGTGCTTTGATTGGAGTGTCCAGAAAAGCACTATCTAAGTGTAAGCAATTATTGTTAATTACATCGTAGTGTTCGGTAGGAGGTGCTATCCTACAATCCCCTTACTGGGGCATTAATGTGGAAATTATAGTCCAAATGAAAGAGCTCCACCTACTGGTTCAATAGGACCACTTACAACAGTAACCTGGCACTTACACAGTTAATCTTTCACTTACACAGTCATCCATTTAGCATTTTTCTAACCACCTTATCCAATACAGAGTTGTGGGGGGGCTGGGGCCTATCCCAGCAAGCAACAGGCACAAGAAAGGATACACCCTGGACAGGACACCAGTCCACCATAGGGCCACACAGACGAACGCCACACCATAGCCAGTTTTATCAGAATCCAATTAACCCACCGTTATGTCTTCGGATTCTGGGTAAACTTAAGCACCTGCAGGAAACCCACGCAAGCATGAGGGGAATGTATGAACTCCATGCAGGTGGCACCCCAGGTCTGGAGTTGAACCCAGGACAGCATTGCTAACCACTGTGCTGTCTTAAACAATCATGATACTTTAATAAATAAGGGATTTAAGCTTCCACAGTATGTCCCGTCTTGAACCATCCCCTTGATGTCATTGTTGAAAATACCGATGCTCAAGTGCAGCACTGGTTAGGTTTCCTACATAAGCAGGTGACCTTTAACATTGAGATGACAGTTCACAATTTTCTCAGTCATTAATTAATATCCCTTCCAGAGATTTTACAGTGAAAATCCACCCAGGAAATGGTTCAGTCTGCTTCCTGAGTGGCTTTGTCAGTGCAGGCCATGCATCACCAGCCCAGGCTTCCTATCGACAGAGATCATTCCTGCCACCAAGCCTGTGCTCGGTCACAGCTGACTGATAAACGACATTCATTTCCCCCTTTCTGTTTTCAGCTGCAGTGGCTCCTAGACAACTACGAGACTGCGGAGGGAGTCAGCTTGCCTCGCAGCTCCTTGTACAATCACTACCTGCGGCACTGCCAGGAGCAGAAACTGGACCCGGTCAACGCTGCTTCCTTCGGCAAGCTCATCCGCTCCGTCTTCATGGGCCTCAGGACCCGGCGGCTTGGCACCAGGTCAGAACCCTTCCAGCAGCTCTGCTTAGCCCAGTTCTGGTTGTATCCAAGGTCTGGAGGTCCTGGTACAGGAGAGCTGCAGCCCCCACTGGAACGTAGCGAGAGCTTTCGCACAGTTAGTGAGTTAGGGAAGCCATTGGAAATATCTACAGCATTAGCCAAGGACCTCCAACCCTGCATCTGCTCAGCCCACAGTCCAGCGGGTTTTGTAGGCCGATAAACAATCCCCAGTTTCTAAAGGACGTGCATCAATTCCTTCCATTTAATCGTGGCCAGTTCAACAGGTGGTTGTTATTTAGAGATTGTTTACGACTAAAAACATGAAAACCGATACAAATAAACACTCAAAAAAAGAAAGTAACACCATAGTGCTCTCAGTCCTCACCATGTGGGAGTCAGCCTTTTAGCACTCCTGTCTTGCAATTAAAGAGAAGTGTGCAGACTGTACCTACATTTGCATGTTTAAAGTAATTGACAGGATGCTTTTGTTATTCTGACTGACAAGAATTCCTTCCATGTTAAAATCGGACCCTTGACGCGGAGATCATACAACTGCATGATGTGTGACAAAACGAGCACAAAATGGAGCAGACACCAATACTTGTATGGATGGTATTTTGCCCTGTGCTTTCTGCAGAGCCAGACTCGGGTGACTGTGCTTATAAAAGTCAATATTTATACCATGGGCAAAAAGTGCATAGGAATATCATAGTTCCAGTCTTTTTGAGATTGGATTGACTGTTAGTGCTGCTGCTTTTTTATGGCATCCTGTGTTCAGTTCGGGGTGGAGTCTCCACGTTCTCCCCATTTTTGTGTGGGTTTTCTCCAGGTTTTCAGGTTTCGTCCCACTTTCTAATGCTAGCTGATTGTGTGTGTGGGCTACATTGCCCATTCCATCAGCAGGAGGAGCTGCTTAGTGTAACTCTTGCTCAGCCTGCCCATCTTGTGTCGCCAGCCCAAGTGCGTTGGAATGAGGTTCTGGTAAAGAAGCAGACTTCTTCTGTGTGAGAATGCTTTTGTTTTAATCTAGCATTGCTGCAAGATTTCAAAAAGAAAGTTCCTCAGTACACTGTGTTTTGTCCACAGTCTATCGCCTCAACAAACGCTGCTTTTTTTTGAGATCCTGTGTAGTTCAGCTCTCCAGGTTCCATCGAGAGTGTCCAGTTACATTCATTTTCTGCCTTGTCGGACGCACCGCTGGCATTGTGATAGCAAAAGCGCGACATGTTCACTCAATACTGCATTACCTGTTCTGAGGCAGTCTTCTTGGGGGTTCTCTCTCTCGCTCTCTCAGGGGGAACTCAAAGTATCACTACTATGGAATTCGTCTGAAGCCCGACTCCCCCCTGAACCGCTTGCAGGAAGACTCCCAGTATATGGCCATGAGGCAGCAGCCTGTGCACCAGAAACAGAGGTTAGTCCCAGATCCTGCCCGTTTAGGGTCCATTTGCCCATAGTAAATTTATTCATTTTAATTAATTTAATTACTATGAGCAGTCTTTGTGCTTCTTGGGCTTCTGTGCAAGTCCAGAATTCTTGCTTAGCCTTGCGGTGCTTTTCTCTGTGACAGTCGACAAGGGGCGTTAGATGAATGCAACAGTGAATTGGAGAGAGATTAGATCTGTGTGTACCGTACCACTTTCAGTATTGCCTCAGGTATTCTTCTCAAGTAATGTTTGCTTTATTTTTTCAGTTTATGGCAATGGAAAGACTTCACAGCAGTGATAAGGGGTTGGCACTGATATCACTGTGCCTATGGAACAGTTATATAAATCTGTAAAGTCCTGTGTGGCAAACTGTTGCAGGAGATGCTGTAGGAAATAAGAGATTGCTGAATGCTTTAAACTGATACCTGCTTCAAGAAAGACCCTTCACTGGTCTTTCTTGAATTTCAATAAGACTTTTTTCAATAAAAAGTCATATAAATTGGTATACATAAGGTGATGATGTCCCTTATTTTACCTGTCGAACAAATTCACAGTGGGCTGTGGAAGAACTCGGTGCACGCCACTGCCTCTGTGTTGTCTTGTGTGCGTTCATCTCGCAGCAGCTGGTGGCGCCGACGATGGAGGCTCAGTGATTGAGGGACTGAGACACAGGGCTTGTCAGCAGCGGGCTAGATCTCTGCTCTACCCCAGGCTCTCCTGCTGTCCTGCACTAGTTCCTGCAGTCCGTCCTTCATGTGAAAACCAAAACCGAGTTTTCGGTCAACTCTGAGTACAGCTGCCAGGTTGCTGCTCGGCCCCTAGTCTTTTTAAGTCACACTGCTACATGGCTCATTATTGCCATTCTTCTGCTTCCATAGGTTTAAGCCCCTGCAAAAAGTGGATGGCATGGGTGACAGCTTAGCAGGCGGAGCCCAGCATTCGACTGCAACCCCAGAACAGTCAGTGGCAGCTCAGAGTCAGCATCACCAGCAGTTTATTGGTAAGAAAGTGCATCAGTAAGACTCCACTTGCACAGCTGTTTGAAGCATGATGGGCTCAAAAAGCAGACTCTTGCACGCCAGCCAGCACCAGGTACTGGATGTGCACATCTGCCTTGTTTTGACTACATTTGCAGACATAGGCTTCATTATTAAATTAATTTGCCTTGTCTGCTTTATCAGTACAATTTATAAAAGAGTTTGCACTACATGAAGTGCAAATCAGACAGCTATGCAAAGGGGTCTGATTTCCATGTCTAAATTATTCTGTTCAATGTGCCGTTGGTTGAATAACAAGAGTATGCTACTGCAATAGCCAAGGTAGTTAGAGATCAGGGTGACACCACCGCTCCCAGTGCAGGGTTTACAATAACACCTCTTTGTTGTTTAGTATAAAGTGGGATTGCCAATTAATTTTCTTTTACACGCTCAAAGTCTGGCATTGCAGATGTTAAGCTAGGGGGAGCAATGGAGGAAGGCAGCCCTCCGATACTCCAACCTGTCTTGGCTATTTGTGCGAGATCCCTTCCAGTCTGCAGGAGATTGGAGGAGCAGCTGCAAGGTGCCACATGGTGCCACAAGCTGAATCAGCGTTATCATTTAGATGCGCACTGGTAAACTACAGGTACCAACAGTGCTTTGGGTCTAGTATAATAAACGGGTCTAGACATTTGCATTCTTGAACCATGTCTTAATACTCACTACTTCCTACGCCCCCAAGCAGTTGTGTAAATTCTGTGTGGTTCTGATGCATCACCATTCCCTGTTGGTTCATGTCCTGCGTGTTGTGATATTAAGAATTCAAGGATCTACATGGTGGGCAGCCTAGTGTTTGTTGCAAGCACCCTGGGAGCTCTTTAAACCTCGAAAGCTTGAAAGTTAATTGTGCTGTTTTCTTGAGCTTAATGGCCCAGGGAAGATGGTGGTTAGGCAGAAACTCCTAGCACCATCACAAAAGGAATTAAAACTCCAAGCTTCAAGTTGGTGAAAAGGCTCAAATAAGTTAAAAACAAGTCTGAAGGTACTCATAATGGTGCCTGTTTTGTTCCATAGTGCTGAAGTGGTTTTAGAATTTTGTGTTCTGATTCTTGAAGCAGATACTTGAAAAAGTCTTAAATTTTCTGTCGGTTATTACTTATTAGAGATCTGTTAAATTGGGCTAATTACTATAATTTGTATAAACAGCTTGTTTTGGGTCGGGGCAATGATTGGCAGAACAGTACTGGGATGACATTGACAAATATGACACAAAATAAGCTTTATCTCATGTATGTACTTGAACTAAGCCTCCAGTGAAAACAACTGTTTTTACTTGACTTGTAAAAACACTCCTATTGTTTTGGAGAGCCTGGACTTTTTTTGATGTCAGAAATAGTGCTGATTGGAGATTGAAATATGAACCAATGTAGTTAATTATTATTTGGGGGGAAAAACCTGTGTTGTACACAGAGCAGGTAATGATTGGCAATCACATATTAAGTGGTCCCAATTTATAATGTCCACAGATTTCATGCAAGATGTCAATGTCAACCAGGATCATTTAAACGGGTAATGAGAGGCACAGAAATCTAAAATAGACAATTACATTGATTGGATCCCATTTTGAGTAAAAGTCATTGAGGCAGAGTAAATCAAGACTACAGCTAATAGGATCAGGACACAAGGGGATGATCAAGCGGTTTTAATCAGTGACTACAGCAGAGCCACACAAAAAAATAAGGTAGCCATTGTAGTATTTAAATATTATTGCAATAGATAAACTCCAATATAGGAAATCAAGGCTTCTAGACCTGCAGTGAGTGACTGGCAGTCTTGTAAGGAATTTCAATTAAAAAATCAGGATAAGAATTGCCTGAGGGCGAAGGTGAACGCCCCCTTTCATGAGCTCGGCCGCCGTGCTGTTGCAGGCGAGCTCAAGAGCGTGGCTGTGAGCGGTCCATTGGGAATGAGCCGTGGTTCGGTCCTTTGCTACCACTGTCAGCTGTCTTAGGTTCTCAGGGCTAGGGGTGTGGCCATGTCTGCCCCGGCCATTGTGTGACTTCTCGTTCCCTGTTGTGCTGGCAGATGTGTCCCATGTGCTGCCCCCGTTCCCCAGCCTCGATCTGGGCGCCGTTCCCCTCCCAGACTGCATCAGCGTGAGCGACGTGAAGAGGCTGCAGTCTCTCTACAGGGACCACTGCGAGGTACCGAGCTGCATGTTCACACGCTGCGCCGTCTTCTAGCACATGAGGGAGAGCCCACAGCCGTGTTGTGTTTGTGTAGAACCTGGAATCATGTTTGCCGGAGCCCCTAGACATTGTCTACTGAATTCACCATTGTGGTCTGTCCGAGGACATTGCAGTGCAGGTGGCTTTTCCTGTTTCTTCTTAGATGGGCTGACTTTGATGTTCTAAAATCATATGGGCTCCGTTTTGCAGTGTGATTGCTCTTTAAAGGTTTGTGGTGTTGGTTGTGTTGTGCCTGTAATGTCATGCTGGTTTTAAGTATGTGCCGAGTTTCCAGTCTGTAATTTGTCCAATTATAAACCTCAGTTCTGGGACTATAGTATAGCCACTTTCTACAGTGGGTTAGCTGGGGTGCTTCCTAGGTATGATCAGTTTGGCATTTATATATAACTTTTTTGCTTTCTCTGTCATCTACAGTGGCATGGTTATCATGTGGTTTTGATGTTTTCTTAATATACATTAACATAATTCAGTTTCTAAACGTATTTTGCAGTAAAAATCAAGCCATCATGACATTGCCCTCAATATTTAGTTGAGTATGGAGATGTAGGATATCAAATTTATCAGCTATGAATCTGCTTAAAAGGAGGCTTTCCAGCACCCTGCCTGATTGCAGCCAAGAGCCAATTAAGTAAATCACCTAATTGCACTTAACAGCACACTTAGTCTTATCTCAGTCTACATAAGGGAGCACAGCCCAGGGAAACTGGAACTGTAAGAACGGGACGTGAGGTTGCCCCTACAGGGCATCTGTAGGTTTGAATTTTGAAAAGAACCTGTTCAATATTGCTGTCGGGAATGTAGGCATTGTTTTGCCTTTGTATTATAAGTTATACTATAATAAGTTATTTCACAGATGGCATTTATCCATGCAACTTCCAGAAGCTACTGGTTAAATGCTTCATCTGAGGGATGCAATATGATTATGTTGAGTAATTTGCTCTGCTCGGGGCTCCAGTTTTGGTTTCAATTAGAAATGCCCTTGCGACATTACATTTTCTTTAGCCACTGCACCACCCAGACTCCCAGTGAGTTAACATGGAGAATGAGTGGCACAGACATACGCTTCTCTCTGTAAAGTGGTGCTGCCCAGAACTGACATATCTGATATAAAACTCTAGATAACTGCGATATAACATTTAATTATTTTATTTTCACTGAGATGGGAATACAATCTTTTTTTCTTTTTCAAGATCCTCATTAGCCACCAGTCTTTTGTAGCGCGTCTCCTTCCTGTCCTGCCTTTTATTAGGAACCCTTCACATTTCGCCCTTTGTTCAGGACATCCCAATTAACCTTTTCAGCTCGCGGGGTGTGTGTGTTGTCAAGACAGCAGAGCCTGTCCCCATGGTGTTTGCGAGCAGAAAGACTCATGACAGGATTCTGCGGCTGCACCTACACAACCAGTTCTCACCTGCCAGGCACCAGCCAGGAGGCTCAACTTTTAGACCGATTGTCCGGCAGGCTGCCCTTTCCTCTAGTGGTGATAATCTCACTAATTTACCCTTCTCTTCTCCACTAAACACTGGACATCAGTAACTGCTTCTAGTTAAAAGACATTCTTATTAGTTAGCGGACTGTATTCTTAGTTCTGGTATCTGTTATTGTATAGCCATTTCCTTTTGTGCTGGATATGCTGAACTACATCCTATATAAAATGAAGTGCCTTAGACCTATTTGTGAAGTGTTGCTCCTTTATAGACAAGAACACATAAACCAAGCCCAGAAGAGAGCACACCCTAACACATCGGTTCCCAGGTGTCTGACCTTATGAAGCACTCGGGGCCTGACACAGATGGCACATGCACAAGTCGGATGTTAGTGTTGCCCAGCAGTTCCCTGTGGACTGTAGAAACCTGGGGGTAATGGGATCTGTCTGTTTAACCGGGCTCAGTAACCTGTGCCTGCTTATAGCTGAAGTAACTGCCTGGGTTGCGAGATCAGATGCGCCTGTCTTGTTTCCAGACCAAAACCACACCAGCGAGCACTACAGCAGAATCAGCCACATGGCTCTGTAGGGAATCTCCATGTGCACACAAAAGACACTGGAGTAAAACTAGTCCAACAGCTGCAGGAAAATACCCTTCATGCTTAACAAGACTGTGCGGCTTTGACGTGGTGTGTGTGTGTGTGCGTGGGTGCAGTAAAGAGCCGAGCACCCTGTCTTCCTAGACTTGAGAGTTAGCAGAGCTCTGCACGTTGAAGCGTTGCTAGCAGTAACTGTAAACAAGGTTGCCATGGAGATACTAGGGAGAGGAAGCACAACATTGTCATGTGATAGAAGGAAAGTCTGTACTGTGTTGTAATACGATAGGGGGGAGTGGGGGAATTGGGTGTGTTGTACAGTCCACAGCAATTCCACGCTGGAGCTCAAAATAATTATGATATAAAACAAGTTGATAGTTGAGATTGTTTTTCGTTTCTTTGCTTGGAGCTAGCCGTTTAGTCATTTCAAACCACGGTCGGGTTACCATGCTTCTCTTCCTGTTAGTGATATTCATCCTGAAACTTGATTTTAAAAACCCCTGTGATTTTCCATTCAAGTAACAAGTAACTGTTTCTTGCTGAATCTTAATTTGCGATCCATTCGTTTAATGACTTTTAACAGTGTCTGTATCCTCACGTTCAGTTTGTCTTATTATTAATACATTTAATTATTATGGCATATTTCATTCCGTGTGTGGGTGGGGCTGTTCTGGGGCGGTCATCTGCTCAGGTGAGGAGCCTGGGTGGTAAGGATGTGTAGAAGCTTCTGAGAGAAGTGCAGGCTCGACACCTTGTTTCTTCCCCTCCCTGCAGGCCACTCTAGATGTGGTGATGAACCTGCAGTTCCACTTCATCGAGAAGCTGTGGCAGTCCTTCTGGTGTTCAACAGCGCCATCTAGCGACGGAGCGACTCCTGTTCCTCCCAGGTCAGTCTGCTTCTGCGTGCTGCTTTGTGCCTGAGAATGTACTTCGCGCTGTTTGTTAAAGTGCTACAGATGTTAAAGTCTTGAAAAGCCAATAAAACCCCCAGAAAATCACATTTCTGCATCCTTTTAAATTTGCTAAGCAATCTTAACCGTGTGTTTACACAACACTTGCTGATTGAATTACTGCGTGGACTCTTTTTTAAAACATTGTTGAGTCGTGATCATGAATGCTTTGTCCAGTTTTTAAAAAATCTGATAACTTTGAATAGAAATGTTCATGATTTCAAAATTGCACACACATTTTATTCATATTTAGAAAACGAATGATTTTATCAGTTTTACATATTTTCATAGGTGGAGTATTCTGTTTAATTAAGCCTCATCACTGACTGTACCTGAGTTCTTTAATTTCTGCCTTTTGTAATAGAGTTAAAACATTTTTCATTTGCAATATATAGAGTTGCCCATTGCAAATGAGGCAGTGTTCTGCCTCAAACATGTTCTGATTCTGCCATGTAATTGCTTGTATCTACAGGCTCTGTGCACACTGCTGATGACAGCTAGAATTAGTTTAAGTCCCTGAAGATCACCATCAGCCTTCACCGTGCACTTCTCTTCAGGGCTGTGATATTCTCACAGCAATTGTAAATGGACTTGGCTGTATTTTATAAAACGCATTTTTATATTATACGGTAGTCTGAGATGACTTGGCACTGCTCTGACAAACCAGAGACTTCTGAGAACAAATGTTCAAAGGAGCTCAAGGATTTTGAGACCTCTATAGAAAAATCAGTTTGCTGGTGTTGGTGGGCCAGTAAGTGGCTGATTCCCCTTGATGGTGACCAGGGGCACTAATATTAAAATTGTATTCAGATAAAACCCGGAGTCCCGAATACTTGGTCACTAAAAGATGTGGTGACACTGTTTGTAAGAATAAGGGCGATATGCCCTGTCTAAATAAATCTGCACAATCTGGCCTCCCTCACGTTTCTTCTTCATTCAGCTGGTGATGTCACTTCTCCCCCTGCTCTGCTGCGCTGTGGAGCTGTGGGTGCAGAGTGGCTGCCATGTGTCCTGTCCTTTGGGGGGTTAAAGCACTATACGAGCACAAGGGATTACTGTGATAGAATAGGAGCCCGGGCAGCTGCCCAGGTGGTGACCCTTGTGGTTCTTTGGTGGTTTTCCAGTGAGGAGGAGACGGAGAGTGCCATCCCCAGAGACACGCTGATCGCCCTGTGCAAGTACGAGCCGATCAAGCTATGGATGAGAAGCTGTGACCACATTCTGTACCAGGCATTAGTGGAGATTCTCATCCCGGACGTGCTCCGACCGGTGCCCAGTGAGTCATTCCTCTTACGATGTACAGCTTTTGTTTGAGCTTGAAGTTTTATTAGTAACATTTTATTACTTGGCTCTTATGACACTTTTTAAATGTAATTTGGGACACAGATGGCAGTAGGGCAGGAATAATTTATGGATGACCACTGAGCTCGCAGTGCCATTGGAAATCATCTCATCCAATTAATATTTTCCTTGAACTAATTGCACAGCAGGTCTGGCCAACCTCACTGGGCACTGAATTGCAAAGGCATCTTTGTGGTGCATCACCTTTATAATTAATCAGTAACAGGGTAACATCTAAATAAACTTCATAATAGTGACATTTGAACCCCATTCGGTTTACAGTTTTTTTATTATGCATTTTCAATTCCAAACAAAGTCTGAATGTTGCTGTGTTGGTTGTTTACAATCCTGCATAGAGTGAGAAAACTCTGAAACAGGTGAGCTATTCAGCTGATCCAAAAGTGTGGAACCCAGGATCTGGACAGGATCCCATTGTGCTTTCCTGAAGGCAATGTTGTCTGTTTTGATCCTGTAGGTACCCTCACCCAGGCCATCCGGAACTTTGCCAAGAGTCTGGAGGGCTGGCTGAACACGGCCATGAGCGATTTCCCGCAGGAGATAGTGCGCACCAAGGTGGGTATTCCTTTACAGAGATTAGAGAGGGCTAGAGTGAATCTTCAATCTGATTTTTGCTCGACATGCATTTTAAGATTATTAGTCATGGTGGCAGCTGGTGTTTTCACTTTCAGCTCTTAATTTAGCATCTTAGGTGATGCTCCTGAAAATGTTTTCTGAGGGACTACTATTTTATTCGGCGTTCAGGTTCTCTTAATGAGTGTCATAAACCACAGGGACTTCATTACCTTTGTGTGGAAGGAACAAGGGAAAATATTTTGAACCTCATCCTGCGATCAGGTACAGGGTGCTGACCTTTAAAGATCTTTCCTGCGCAGCCTGCGCTGTAAGCGACTGGCAACAATTAAATCAATGTGCTCATCCATGATGTAAGAGCCACGTCAATCTGTAATAAAACAATCCACTTCTTCTAGTCTCTTTGTGGATGGCAGTGGCTTTTTAAGCCATTTTATATAGATTTTATAAGCCCCAGGAAGTAAAGGCTACGTGGAGCAATGTCCTCAGCAACTGATTGATTCACAGATCTCCTCTCACAGGTTTCAATGGAACTGCTTTATATATAAGTGCATGTTGGTTGTACATAATGTAAGAGTGTCTATTAGTCTTTGCTTTTAGTTGTGTTCTCTTCTAGATTCTGTGTTGATCTTGCAGCTAATTTATCGGGTTGACCTTTTCAGTTCCTTGCAGGATTCTGAGTCATTCTTGTATCCATTTTTAGGCTAAACATGCTGTTGCCTGTGAAACAGAAGGTTATCATCTGATTGATTGTTAAACTTGTTTGGGTCTTTATTTGTCCATTGCATTGAAAACGTCATCTAAAGGAGCTAGTTTATTTTACCGGTAGTAGAAAGTGCAGCCCTTTGTCTGTCAGGCTAATACCCAGTCCTGTCCTGCAGGCGGCAGTAGTGAGTGCTTTTGCGCAGACCCTGAGGCGGTATACCTCTCTCAACCACCTGGCCCAAGCTGCACGGGCGGTCTTGCAGAACACCTCACAGATCAACCAGATGCTGAGCGACCTCAACAGGGTGGACTTCGCCAATGTGCAGGTCGGTCTTAGCAGTGTTGCCACCTTGTAGCCTGACCTGGTCAGGTCTCGGGAGCTGAGCAAGGCTGTCTCCGGACAGTACTGGGATGGGAAACCACCAAGGGAACCAGGTCACTGCTGTAGATGGTGTGGGTAGTCCAGCAACTTCCCTGTAGGCCAGATTTTCTAAGCGTATGTCCCAGTACGGTCACCAGGGACACTGTGCTGTAGGAGAAGAGGTCCTTCAGATTAATTGTTAAACCAAGGACCTGACTACTTATTCATTAAAGATCCCATAGCATCTTTCAGAAGAGCAGGGGTGTGAACTCCAGAAGCATTCTGGCCTCCCTCCATTCCCCGCCCTTAATTAATCGGTGAAGCAGTCTCTCACTCCTCCCCCTGATCTGCAGTGCAGAGGAGCTGGAGGTAGAGAATGCTGGGTGGGGCTGGACAGCAGTGATGGCTGAAGTGGAGCCTTTGGTTTTAATCCCATAAATGCAAGCAATTATTGTCACATCCTTCCGGAGGTGTTGCCATTGTTTTTAGTTATTATTAACCCAATCTGAATGTTAATAAAAGCGTACTGCCCTCTTTGCAATCGCAGAAAGTTTGTGTTTTCGACACGCGATCGCGCTTGCAGCTGCCCGATACCCTGTACGGCTCTGCGCGAGAGTGGGGGTGCCCCCTGACGCCCGCTCTGCCCTCTGTGTGCCCCTGTACAGGAGCAGGCCTCCTGGGTGTGCCAGTGCGAGGAGGGCATGGTGCAGCGCCTGGAGCAGGACTTCAAGGTCACCCTGCAGCAGCAGAGCTCCCTGGACCAGTGGGCCGCCTGGCTGGACAACGTGGTCAGCCAGGTCCTTAAACCCCACGAGGGCAGCCCCAGCTTCCCCAAGGCTGCCCGCCAGTTCCTGCTCAAGTGGTCCTTCTACAGGTGTGGCACCTTGAACCCCTCTTCTCCAACTGCGAAGCCTTACCTTTGTCACCTCTGTCCTCGTCTGTGTGCCCCTCAGGCCATAATTCCTCCCATTTGAGTTTCACCCAGACCCTTGTGATTAAAGTGTGACTTGATAAAGCTTTGATAATTAGTTGGTTATTAAAACTTCCATATTCAGCTGCCTTATTAAAGAACCGGCTGTAACAAAGATCTGGATTGGATTGCGAACTGGATGGATCGAAAGCTGTAGTATTTCACTACCCCTTGCAGTGGAATATTCTGCGATTTATTTTTCTTCGCTGGCCTGTGACCCCCACATGCGTCATAGCCCATCCAGTCTGTGCACTGGTAGGTCTGGAGCCCTGTTATTGAATTGACCCTGAATTGCTTTATTGACCCAACATGCTGGAGAGGTCTTTAATAACGAAGGCTGAAGCTGGAGCAAAGGCTTTCAGTGAAGCCGAGTGGTAAAGACATGGCTACCAGTTAGTCTGTTCAGTCTTCATCATGCTGTGCAGTGCCCTTGTGGTACACACGCAAAGTGCTACTCCTTCTGTACACATGCTCTGTTCTTTCTTTTCCAATCCAATAATAAGTGCATAATTATTGATCTGCTTCAGAATAGTGCATATACTGTACTGTATACAGTAGGCTTTCTAGTCTTCTTCATTGAAATACTTTCCTACAGCTATAGCAGAAGTCTGTAACAGACGTGACTGTGAGGGGTACGAATTGAGCAGCCCCAGTTTGTCTCAGTACCCACTGCAGAGAGCAGCACTGATGCCGAGACGTTCAGATCCTGTTTTTAGTGCCACGTGTCCAGCTCTCCTGCATTGGGACCAGTCTAACTCCCAGAGCGGAGACAGGTTCTCCCGCAGGACTTGTGTTGAGGTCCGGGAGCTGATCCCAGTCACCCTGTTGCCCCGCAGCTCCATGGTGATCCGGGACCTGACCCTGCGCAGCGCTGCCAGCTTCGGCTCTTTCCACCTGATCCGGCTGCTGTACGACGAGTACATGTTTTACCTGGTGGAGCACCGCGTGGCCCAGGCCACCGGAGAGACGCCCATCGCCGTGATGGGGGAGGTGAGTCCAGTCCCTGCGCCTCACACGGGCATCTCAACGCCCCCAGACGGACAGACTTTTTAACTCATTTCCGCCCTCCTCAACTTCCTTAAAAGGGTAACCCTGTGCGCACTGCTTTTCAATGAAATAAATCTGTTCGTCTCGTGAGCTTTGCACCTCGAAGAGGTCTGTGGATGACCTTGTGTTTTTCCACGGTGAAGCTGGTGATCTATGTGGAAGAGCAGGCTGGTACAGCACTACCGATCTTCTGTCTCGGTCTGTTCTAACCGGCCCTGCAGACCAAGATGCTTTCACACAAGAGTTTATGGCGTGGGTCGAGCCCATGGGAATGGGAGAGCCCTCTTGGTGGCCCAGAGCCCAACATGGTGTGTTTCATCTCCCCCCTGGCCACGGGAAAGCCCCAGCCCCACTCAGCCTGATCTTTCAGATGAAGGCGCAGCAGTGGCCATGTGTGAGCAGCCCACCGCCAGCGCTCCGCCTCGAGTTCCCCAGCCAGGCGCCCACCTCCGCGTCCAGACCTGATCCGCTGGGATGAATGCAACATGTAGCACTAGTAACAGCGTTGTCCCTGTCACACAGCGACACCCATCCCCACAGTCCAGCCCTGTGTGCAGGAGGCAGGTCCACTGAGTCACAGACTGTTTTCATCAGGGCTTTACCTGTTAATAGCACAAGCCTGGCTATCTTTAACATGCTTCTGACCTTCTTTGTTTTGTTTTTTAACACAGTTCAGTGATCTAAATTCCATGATGCCCATGCTTATGGATAAAGGTAAGACTGGATGCTGTCACCTGTGTTTATCCTCCTAGTCCCCGACAACCACAATCCTGGAGTTTCAGACTCAATTCCTGGGCTTTTCTGGTTTTCCTTCCTCCTTGTTTCTTAGTTGCTTAATTGTTTTAATAGTTATAGCAGTTCTATTGAACTATATTTATATTATATCCCACAAATAGAATAAAGGGTAATGTTGAAAAGCAATCACATTTTTGAGCACTTCACTCTGTTTAAAAAGCTTCTAGATTTATTCGTGCGAGTGAAAGAATTGTGTGTGAATTCCCTGCTGTGGAAACATGGTTCAGCTCATAACATGGAGTGCTCTGGGCTTTCAGAAGGCTTGAAGTACAATCTTAATAGCAAGATAGATTCTGGTGTGTTTTAAGTTCAGTGTAGTTCCTATACAGCCTGTAGAGTCTCCGGCGAGTGTCTGACGCTCTGCTGAATCTCCTCTAGCCGACTCTCAGGCTCTGCTGTTTCACGAAACTCTGCGCCTTTTTTACAACTCAGCCCAGCCGCCCTGCGCTCGCAGCCCTGCTCCTTTCTCCCCGGATGCATGTGCTGAATGAGCTCGTTCTGCAGCCCTTGCAGAGCAGGGAAGCAGTTCCCTCCTGTGTGGGCTGGGCCCTTGACAGCCGCTGTCCTCTGCTCGCCCACCACAGAGCCCTCGCACTTCTCCGACGACATGAGCGACTTGGGCAGCGAAGTGGACGGTGTGGCCCGGGGCCCTGCCGAGCCGCCGGTCAAGAGGGAGCGCATCGAGCTCAACCACTCCCTGCAGGAGATCTGAGTCCGCCGCCACCAGGGGGCGACTGCAGCTTTAAAGGCAGCCAAAAGACGAAGCAGTGGGCTTCCTGCCCTTCACTCACACGAGGACCATCCTGTTCCGCAGGATATGTACATACACACGATGTGCATTTCAGTGGTAGCCCTCTTAGGTACCTCCTCTCTTAGCTTTCATAGGAGCTGTCCTTGTATTTTTATATTCCCAATGAATATGAATGCAGCTTTTTTTTTAATTTGGAGGGATTTGCCTACTGCTCCAGTTTTCCTTCTTTTTGTTAATTTTAACTGTGAATATGAAAATGAAATGGATGTTGTACATTACTTTAGAGTAGTCATACACTTAACCTGGAGTGATGTTTTCATAGGTGTGCCATAGTTTTAATACAGTGCCTTAGATGAAAAACCAACAGCAACACAAAAAGGTTCCCTTTTTCAGCTGTGCCTATTTGTATTTACTGCAGTCAGAATGAGAGTAGTGTTTCTTCCTTTGTGTGACTTGTTCAAAACCTAGATTCCAAAGCACCTTGAAACCGGTGGAGGATTTGTTGACTACTGAGAGCTTTGCTTGAGTAGGACAAGCACGACCCAGAAACTAATGCTAACCTGCCCTGGGTGGACAGAATGCTGCTGTGTATCAGGAAACCGAGGTAATAGTGTGGATAAGGAGAGGGGGTTTTGCAGAAGGATGTATCTTGCATTAACTTTGGTTCCTCTGTAGGAAGTCTGGCAGTGTTTTAAAACATGCTGTTGAAAGGATTAGTGTGGTCCAGAATGCCAGGTGTTGGGTATGATGCCATAATCAATTTTTTGTTAGTGTAGATTTGTGTAAAATGAAAACACTTTGTTTAACCTGGAAACAGAATCTGGATTAATTATAAACAAGAGGCGACTGTATCCATCCCCTGAGCTCTTCCCTGCAGCGTGCACTGGTGGGGTGCAGTACCCTGGATGACCAGTTCTTCTGCAGTGGACAGCAGGAGTTCAGAGCACAGGAGGATTTTATTCGTCAGCCCTCAGGTGATGGTGAGCTCCAGTAAACCAGCCTCTCTATGGAACTGTGTCAAATACACTACACAAAATCTTTATCTGGTTCATCCTGGCCTGCAACAAGAGTTGGGTCAAGTCAGCACTTTCTGTTTAAAATGGCTAATCAATCAAATTCCTGATTGGTGGATTTTAAAGGACTGTATCTCAGTGACCTCTCTGCTAATGTCTTGTTCTCTACCCACTGACAACACCAAGCCTGTAGCTTCTTTAAATGTTACCTCAGCCCCCTCTGTCCCTAGACCTCTCTACTTCCTCTTTTGCATACTGGCAGAGATTCACCTGTCTCTGAGTGAAAGAGCTACTTCTGCCCTGTGTGGTCTGAGTTGAATGGAAAAACTTTCCATTTTAAAGGAATTCCAGCACAATGCAGGAATTTGTTATACATGGGGGAGTGCGTGAAAATACGCAAGGTGTTTGCAAAACTCAAGGCACGAGCAGGAGTTCCTTTCCGTTGAGTACCTTCTGCTTATGCAGTACCTAGGGTGTGTGCAGGATCCCGTACAGCGCATATTCCCTCTTACAGAGTTGGAGCCTGTGCAAAATCGAGTGGTGCGTGACAGGTCTGCAGATGCCGGTGTTGAGGGTTAGCACCTGACTCTTTCACTTACAATATGTTTCTGAGGATTAGTCCAATCTTACCTTTTTGTGCCTCACTGTCACCTGTATTGAAATTAGCCTCAAAACATTGCACCAAAAATAGGCCACTTTCCCGTCTAGGGTGACCTTGTCAGCAAGTGCCACCATAGTGCATTAGACTGTACAGATCTCACCCCTAACCTCCAGACTGTTCTCCTCTGTTTTGGTGCAACATTGAGGCAAAAACCCCTTATAGCAGTTGTTGTTACCTGTGCATTTCTTCCTGTGGGGCTCTTCTTAGGGAAATTTAAAAACTATTTTTGTACTGCATTGTATCTATTATTTGGAGTAAAGCTGATCTACAAAAAAGGCTGTAGCTAATTGTTCCAGATGCAGTTTTATTTATACATTAACTATGTAGCAGTTTATTAACTTTTTTGTAATATAGGAAAGGGAAATTGATTTTTTAAAACCAAATTGTAAAATATATATATTTACTTTCATGAACTGTTGAATTGTAGGAAAGTTATCAATACTTTTTTGTGGCCTTTTAAGATGACGGTTGTGCCATTTTTCTGTAACATGGACTTTTACTGGTTCTGGTTCAGTTGATGTATTTTTTTTCTTTGCCACATTGTGGATACTGTATAACTGGGCTTCTATCCAATTCAACTTGGTTGCTGAATTGAATCAAATCCTTAGTCTGAGCAAGGGTTTGTTACCACTTTACAACCCTTTTAAGAGCAGAAAATAATTGAAAAGTTACATGGAAATCAGTCTCTGTTGATTCCAGAAATGAAATCAATTGAAAAGGGCCTGTTTAGGAAATGGTCTTCAGGCAGGAAGAACAACAAGAGGACCTGGATTATGAAGGCCTGATGTATCGCAGTTTGATACAGCAACTTCTGCCATCTGTACCAAACTTCACTGCTCCTTGATACATAGTTTTCAAAATACAGGTGTTTAAACAAGACAACAAGCACCCCACAGTTCATCACAGGTGATGTTTCCGCCTTCTTAGTTTCCAGGGTCAGGTGATTCCCTTTAAGATTTTCCATCTCAAACCTTTAAGTGATCAGTTCTATATCAGTGTTTGCACTGTATCCTATGTAATAAAACTGTGCTTTCCAAGTTCTGCTACCACACAAGCTGTAAAAATCGTTTTTCCTGGGCTATCTGTTATAAACAAATGTAACCAGCTGTAGAGCCCAGAGGGTGTCTTCTCCAAAGTGCACCCCAGTACTGGTGGAAGCTGAAGATACTCACCTCCAGCTGTAATTGGGGCCCCTGGCAATGTTTGGCAGCCAAAGTCTTCAGGAAGTTCTTGTCGTGTGCTTTTGTCTGTTTTCTACAACCAGCTACGAGTGTTGTTTGTCCTGGATTGTGAGGAAACCTGCCGTTTTTCTTTGGCTTAAAAGTTTGAGATTTGGGCCATGGGTTTTTTTTTTATTGTACTAGTTTGGGTTCTTATTTTTGGTATTTTATACCTTGTTTTTTTAAAAATATATTTTTAAAACCGCTCTGGATTACACACTTTATTTAGCCCAGGGACTGCTAAAACAATCCCTAACTTACTGAATACAGTTCAATTGTATTTTGTACTGGTTAAAATGTTCAATAAATTGGTGTAAAAATTCAAGTAAAACCGTGTGATTTTACTACCCAGCTTTTTATCGTAGTGAATCAAAAGGTCCAGCTTTTCTATTTCACAAAACAGAAGAGGCAGCTAAGTCAGGTCAGCCGGTTTTACCATCTAGATTTCGAAAAAGAAGAAACTTGCACACCTTCATGACTGTTTTTTTGTATTCTCGGTGAATCCCACTGCTGCCCTTAATAATTAAAACTTCTTAATCCAAGAACCACACAATCCAAATCGCATACAACAAACACCAAATAATTCCAAAGGGACAATCCAGAACGTCTCTGTATACCGTATGTACAACCGAAGAGCTGAAGGAAGAGGTAAAGTTCTCAGGAGCTTGTTTTTTTCTCTGAGACACATTCAGGAAATTGGAATTCCCTAAAACCTATCCCAGCAGAGTGCAGATAATGCTGGGAGTGAAATCCTGATGCAAGGCTCCTGCCAAGCCTGCACCAAGTCTGCTAGATCATTTCACCCCACATACCCAAAAATGTTCCCATCAGGATCCAAAATTTGCCACCGGATCCTCCCCTCCTCTCATGGTGAAGACTGAAGTTCTCGGAGGGGAGTTGAAAAGTGCAAAAGAGAGAGTTTCTGCAAGCGTTCAGCAGAGGAGCAGACGGCCTCTGTCCTCACAATGAGCACCCGGCCATGTACTTCCCTGCAGTGAAAAACAAACCGCTCTTAGTGCTGGAGGGTCAGTCTGGGTTACAGCTGTGGATATCCAGCTGTCACATAACTGCCAGCCCTACAGTACTGACATGTCTTCAATGGCTGACCAGACAAGCAAGCAATTGTCCTAACAGCTGCTGCCAGGGCTAAATGTTACAGAGCGAATTGGATACTTGTAATTAACGTATTCCAGAAATGCACAATACATGTTTACATACTTTTGTTTAAAAGCCATTTAAGCATCCCCTCTGAAGAGTTCATCAGTGGTAGTGCAAACTAAGCCGATCAGATAGGAATCTCACACATGCAGAGCCTTTTAGCAGGGTGATGGCAAAGTAGCTCTATAATAAAATCAGGCATAAAAAAGACTAAGGCCGTGTCCCAATATGCACACTTGTGGTCCTGCGCCCATCACACTGGATGTGCATTCCCACTCAAGTCTGCAAGGGCTTAAGTTGTCCCATTTCTAAATCAGTGTTTCACGAGGGTGCTCACAAGCGCCCCCCTCTCTGAAGTCCACATCGCAGCGACTCCGCTGGAGGGAACCGCCCCAGGCTCCCTGCGGAATGGTGACAGTTCATGGTCTAACCTCTCATAGCACAGGGAAGTTGCCATGGAGAATAAAATATCCATGTGTTAGTAAAATGTAACTTTTTAGGAGGCTACACTGCACATGTGGGCACCCGGTACAGGAGACCCTACCTGTAGCGAACCTCTTCTTCACCAGCGACATCCGGTAGCGGCTGCCCACCAGCTCGATGTCCAGCCCAGACAGGGAGGCCCCGGAGCCCAAGAACTGTACCCCAATGTTTGGCGGGGAAGCCCTGGACCCCTGCAGGCACTGCCAGCTGGCACACAGCGTGCCCGAGCCTGAGAGAGAGGGAGAGAAGCAGTGAGAACGAGCCAACACCGCCACACACTCCCCTGTTGCTAAAGGCAGCCATTTCTACCCAGGACAGACAAAATGACAGCCCCCGCGACTTCAGATTTGTGCTGAAACTGAGGTATGTAGCTAAAAAAAACCCTCTTTCTTCCTGCAGAGGGACCTCCAGCAGACACCCTTTACCTCCTGCTCCCCAGCTTTTGGAATAGAGCTACTACCGCCCGCGGGGGGCTCTCGGCAGGCAGGCTGTGGTGGAGGAGAGGCGGTGCATGTGTGTGCACTAGCTTAAGAGCACCTCAAGATCTTCCTGCTTCAGGAGTTTGAGTGGCAGCCAGTCTCTTCGGGGAGAAATTCGCTCTGAATCTCGTCAGCTGCACCACACCGAGAGCCCCCCCCATGTCAGCCCAGCCTTTTGTATGCTAATGCTGGTATTTAACACAGCCGCAGAAAGCCAAATCTAAAAAAGAACAGCGACTGACCCCTGTTTATTTATTTGAAGAGAGATGAAGCTGATTACCTTTGCTATCGGCTGTGGGGGAGATATTGGGCAGTTTCCATAACAACCGGTGCTCATCCGCATTCCTGGAGAAGAGAGAGATCCATCAGTGTGTGCAAGTTGGAGTCACATCCAGGCCCTCTTCCCTGACCCACAGGGCACTACTGCCTCAGAGCAGGAAACACGGTGCATCATCAGCTGCCAGTCTGAACAACAACTGCACTGGATTAATGCAGAGATTGTGGGCGATGAAAAAGTCACCACTGTGCACTTAATCTGGAGGATACACCTCCATTAAGAGAATTTGTTTTATGTCATTGTTTTCAGGTGATCGCTTTTAAATGCCCCTCATAAAATAAACTTTACCTGTCCCGATCAAGATCAGTTTTCAAAGAATTCATGGTAGTCAAGTAAAAATAACTGCTATAGGAAACGTTATGTAGGAGAGGAGCCAGATGACACATCTAACTCAACTGAATGCCTGTAGTAATGGCCCAGTGATCTCCTCCAGGGGCTTCCTGTGGCAGTTTGTCCCACACACCCTCTACCCCCATCATGCTCAATTCTAGCTCCTGCTCAGCGCAACCATGTGCGACTCTCAGATCGGCAGTTTCCAGCTCCGGCTCTGGGAGAACCAGCTCCAACCGAGTACTTAATCACACCTCAATTTCGATTTTCTGTGTGCGGCACATTTCAGAAGTTTCAAAGGTGGCTTCACGTTTTTCTGTACCAAAGCTAAGGGAAGGCAGATGTTTCTGAAAATCAGGGCCGAGTGCAGAAATCACTGTACCCCAAGTTTCAGCCAAGCAAGCTCTGGCAGTGATCTTGGGTAACTCCTGGCACAGCCGGAGGGAAACCAGCAGACCCACTGGTGCCTGAGGGATCTGGGTGGGGACACTGATTAACTGAATGAAAGGACTCATTTTCTCACTGATCCCAAGAGCGTGGCACTCTTCCCCCGCTGGACAACATCTGCAGAGTTCTAACACGAACGTCTTCATCCGGGCCGTTCAAGGCTGCATCTTCGGATGCGCTAAACGCGTGAACCAGTAACCCCCAGGCCGGTCCGCCCTCGCGACGGGAGCCCCTGCCCTGCGCCCGCACTCACCACACCCCGGGGGGCTGGCACTGCACGTCGCTGGCCGTCTCCTCCAGGGGCAGCACCACCTGCACGCCGCTCAGCTGGGAGGCGGGGGCGGTGGCCGGGCAGCAGTGGTAGTCCAGCGAGACGCGGGTGACGGTGCCACTGCGCTGGCACTCCGCCGACAGCAGCAGCGGGGCGCAGCCAGGGTCCTGGGACGAGACCTGGGGGACCAGCGTTCAACGAGAAAGAATCACGGCGCAGAACCTTCCAGATCCGGTAGGAAAAAGACTGTCATTTTACTAAGGTATTTAAAAAAAAAAACAGCGGTTTATGTAACCACATTGTGCGATATATCTAGAGGTCCTACGTTAATTAACAAGACATGGAAAATGTGACATGGAAAAGAGTGTTTTTAGAGAGAAACGGGTGTAGGCACCAGCACGGCGGTCTTGAGGTGCTCTGTCACCTGGTATTTGAGGAGGCCTACGTTGTAGTATGAGGCCTGGGGGTTGAGTTCAGCCTCTCTCTGCAGGTGGAGTTGGAGAGCCTGCATGTTGAACCAGAAATCCCTGGTTTCCGGATCGCTCTGGGATGGGTCACTAGGAAGCAAATAATGAGACTCCAGAACAATGGTAACAGCAGGCAAACCAGTTTACAGCATCGTTGTTAATATCTTATACTCTAACAGCAGTGATACACTGATTCTTTGGCATTTTCTAACAGCATGAAACATTCTACTCCAAACTCCTAGCTTTTATACACTGTACTCCTCTCTGTGTACAGTCTGTGTCAGAATAAACAGTTTCAAACACTGCTCAGACTCCCTACAGAACAAACCAAATATGCCAGCTAACATTTACGATTAGATCTTAAAAAACAAGTTGGTTTTAAAAAACTCCTTAAATATACCAAACTAACTTTTTGGAACATAAAAATAGCATCTCTCCAGACAGGAGTAAAAACATTGTTAAACCTCACACTAAACTAGACAACTATGTGACAACATGGGACGTCAAACAGCAAAAAGGAGAAAGCTTTTCTCAAGAGGAAGGAAGTAGGCGGTAGCAGACAATAGCATCTTCAACATGATACTGTGCACACATGTGATACAGTAAATTGAATTGTCATGCTGTTAGAAAAAGGCCAACACCCGACTCCCAAACCCCCAGCTATCACACCCTGTACCCCGCTCTGTGTACAGTCAGTGTCACAAGAGTTATCTGACTATCCCACGATGCTCTGTAACTCCTCCATCACACCCACCTGTATAGAAGTTTCTGATTGGGCAGGAAGTGGTCCACTCGTGCAATGTTGACCAATCGGAAACTGAGGACAGGTGCATTGGGATTGGCTGTGAAGACACGTGTGATGCCAGCAGGGAAGGACATGGTGAGGTCTCCAGTGATCTTCACCAGACAGCTGTGGACACACGCACACACGCATGGTGTGAAAAACAGCACTTGGTCTGAATCAAACTCCCTACAAACCCCATTTATAATCAGTTCAGGAGTCCTATCCCATTGATGTTTCTCAAAAGGTTGGTTACAGGTGTAGTAAAAGTAGTAAAAATCTTGGATCTGCTAGAAAATTAAAGCTCTGTAAGGGTATATGAGCCCATAAAGAATAACTAGAGAGAAAACTAGAGAGGTATGGTGCCGAGGCGTTGGAGATGGACACAGGGCAAGGCTGAGCTTTCTAAGAGCCGCTAAGCTACTGCATCTTGTGACCACATGACCCTGCTGACAGTTTTCAGGCCTCTGTAACTTTCACAAGGCCAGTCAAGGCTCTCAGTACAGAGCAACAACCTTCTTCTCCAATGACCCACCCCGGCAATGCTGGGCAGTACAAGAAATCTACATTCTTCAACTTCAAACAAAAAGTACTTTTGAATGAAGTAAACCGCTTAGTAACCTGATTTTCATATTTTACAACACTGCACCTGAAAGCCCTGGTTGCAGGTTGCTTTTCTTTAAAATGCCTGCATGTCACCCCAAGGCTCTGCAAAGGGGAATCGGGCCCCCCCCGGTGCTCCCCCCGGTACCGCCCCTCACCGGTTGTGCTCTCCTCCTTTGAAGTAGGCGTTGATGTACTCAGTGATGGCTGCTGCCACGGGCCAGGCCTCCTGAGTGCTGAGGGAGATGGGGCTGGGGCCGCGTGAGAGACCTGCCGAGAGAGACAGAGGCCGGTCACAGGGGGCCGTTGGGAGACACACAGCGAGTGAAGACAACCGGCAGCAGCAATTCTGAGATCGAGGAGTGAGGAGCTGCATGCACCACCCTGCAGGGGGTCGCCGAGGGACAACGATGGTCAAGACTTGCAACACGCAGTACACCCGATCAGATTCACGTCAGGACTTGTCTCGACTTTGACGCACTCAAGAACATTCAAATTTGTCCTCCTAAAGCAACGCCAGCGTAGCTTTGGCCGCGTGCTTTGAGTCAGTGTGCCACTGAAAGCTGAGGTTTTGTCCCAGTTTCTGGTCTTGCGCAGACAGGAGCAGCTTTTCCTCCAAGAAGTGACAGCACTTCGCTCGGTCCATTTTCCCCTCAGTCTTGACCCCTGCTTTCCCCCTTTCTGGTTCCTCCTCCCAATTTCTGTGCCTCAATCTGTTACCGCAGAAATTCCTTTAATGTTTTTTTTACAGTTTTTACATTTGTTTTATTACAATTTATTACAAGACATTACGGATTGGAACAAATAAGGACTTACAACGAAGACACAAGTATTATTTTTGCAGTGGACAATCACGCAAACAGCCCTCAGACGGCCTGGCGGCCTGCGAGGGGCGGGACCCACCTCGGCTGGGGCTGGCGGGGCGGGGGGTGGGGGTGTGCCCCCCCCAGTCGCTGGGGCTCGAAGAGGAGGAGGAGGTCAAGGGGGGGCTGGGCCCCGGGAGTGGAGACGAGCACACGGACCTGGACTGAAACACACAGGCACCAACATTAGACAGGGGGATCCCAGGGTGGCACCATCAGAAACCAGTGTGTCTGAAACCGGCCTCTGCCAGCCTGTTCTGCAACTGTGCACAGACCCCTCCAGCACCCAGCCTGTGTGCGAAGAGGCTGTAAAAAGAGAAGTAAAAACACAAGAGTGCCACGAGCCCTCCCTGGCTTGCACTGAAGCTACACCGCTCAAACACCACCTGCCAGGCTCCCACAGGCGTTTCCACCTCTCACAGCTTCGCCACCTAGATCCTTCTCAACCCGACACCAGGCCGCTGAGTGGGAGCGAAACAGCTCTGCTTCGGAGGCGGTTTCAACGCTCCAAGGAGCGGTTCTCCCACGCTGTCCTGTCTGACCTGCTCTCAGAGCTCAGACCCCCGAGGGCTCCCCGCCGGCTCGAACCAGCCCGCAGGAGAACTTTCCAGATATGTGCAAACAGAGAAAAGGCAGCGCGAAGACCTGTACTTCTGCCTTCAACTGTGAACAATGAGGCACGATAAGAACAGTTACAACTGAGAAGAGGCCATTTGGCCTGTCTGTACCATTGAGTAATGAGCACCTAATTGATCAAAAGATCTCACCCAGACAGTGATAGAAGCCAGGGCTTCAGAGGGGCGCATCTAAGGTCTTTGTTCTCCACAGTGCAGCGCAGGAGCTGTAGTCATAAGTGGAGCCTTAAGCCACTGGAATTTTAAGAAATTAAATCTGTACGTTTTAAAAAGGGAATGGGATCTTCTGCAAACCTTGCAGAACAATGAAGATTAATTTGCATACTTTTAAAACAAATTGTTTTGTGATCACCACTGCAGAGTTAAAATCTACAAAGCTGTTGAAAGGAAACGTGGCCGAACTCTGGCTCAGGGTATTCACGCGCTGGACGGCGCTCCTGAGGCTGGCCTCACCCGCTCGCTGCCGGTCAGCCGGCCCCCAGCGGCTCTCCTGGACCGGGAGGGCCGGGGGGGCGCCACCACCAGCACCTCGGAAATGTCCCGTCGGGAAGGCGGCGGCGTTCCTGGGGGGCAGAGACAAATACCAACAGATATACCCTAATGCAGGAGACATGATGGCGCAGTGGTAAACATTGCACCCTTGGCTCAATTCCTGGGGCACTTTCTGTGTGGTCTGTATGTTCTCTCCGTGTTTGCATGTGTTTCGACCATGTGCTCCAGTTTCCTCCCACAGTCCAGTCTTGCACTGGCGTGCGTGTCTGTGTGTGTGCCCTGTGATGGACAGAGCGTATCCCATTAGCCTGCAGTTAGAAGGCTGGACGGACACTTCAATACGGGCCTTGAACATGCCCCGTCTGGATCATTTCCTGTGTGCTCCGACAGGTGGTCTTGAAGTCAGAAGAGCGAGTCGGTGAGGATGGGTCTAGGCTGTGACAAGCTACAACACTGTCAGAAGTGAATCAGAGGGAATGCCGCATCCCACAACTAAAGGTGAAGCCGACAGCTAATCCCCCTGCCTTTGAAACATGGCACTATTTTATATGAGCGGATTTTGCAGTTACAATTTAACAAATGTTAAATTACATTCATGTAAAATTGCTAAGACTAAAATTTACAATTTTAACAATGAAGGTTATAATGCAATACCCACATCCTATTAAAAAAATGTTCAATATATTCCCTTCCCTCAAATTCTGCAACCACAACACAAACTGAAGTGAATGAGGTGAAATTCAATACATTTCCTCGACTGCTGCCAGAGGACACTAGATCCTACAGCCTCCATGTGCCCAGTGCTCCCTCTAGTGGACAGTGGCGTGTACTGCTGCTGGCCAGCAGTGGCGTCTGTGTGCACCTGAAGAGCACAGCTCTCATCACACCGCTGTCTGCCCAGGACAGCTAGCGTGATGTTTAGAAACGGCTACCTGTGCTGCGAGAGGTCTGCCTGTTCAGGTTGTAGCAGGCCTGCTCCTTCTCCGAGAGCCCCGGATCTCCCGCGGAGGGGTAACACAGGTCCTCCTGGGGGCCCGTGTGCCGCGTCAGAGGAAGGCCGTTCCTCCAGGACTCCGGCTCGGGCGTGCGCTTCTTCCTGCCGCCGTCCCGGTCCCGCTCTCGATCCCGATCCCGATCCGCGAAGGGGTTGTGCACCGAGTTCCAGCGCACCAGCTCCTTCCGGCCGGGCCGGGCCGCGGGGCCCGCGGGCTTGCAGGGCTGCTGGCCGGCCAGGGAGGACCGGTGCGTGGGGCTGCCGACCATGGTGATGGAGAAGGGGTCTTCGGGGGAGTCCAGGCTGGGGGCCCCCCGCTCCTTCGGGACCTTGCCCTGAGGCGGGGCGGGGGGCTTGGCGTCACCGGGGGGGTCCGCGCGGCCCTCGAGGGGTCCCCCGTCCCAGGATGGGCGAGGGGGGGGGTCCCAGGGCTCGGGGGCGGCCCTCTCGTCGAGAGTCCTCTCGATGGCCACCAGGAAGGGGTCCTCGGGTGGGATGTGCTTGCAGCCCTGCGGGCCGGCCCACAGAGAGGGCTCCCGCCCCGAGCAGGACGGGTGGCCGAACGCCGGGGCGAAGCTGGGCAGGGGGGGCTCCTCGGGGCTGCGGGAGGGTGCGCTCCACCCCCCTGTGCCCTCCGGGGGCGCGGGGGGGCGGCCGGGGGAGGGGTCGCGGAAGGCGGCCAGGAAGGGGTCGCCCGCCAGCCCCAGCTCCTTGCTGTGCGACGCCCCCGGCCAGGCCGCCCAGGCGCAGGGCTCTGGGGACGGCCCCAGGGGTGGATGGGAAGGGGAGTCCAGACCAGAGTCCTCCACATTCTCAGGAGAGGAGGAATCGGAGGAAAAGGCAGCATCTGTAGAGGAGGAGAGGCCCATTAGACTACCCCTGTAAGGAAATGGGATCTTCTGCAAACCTTGCAAAACAATGAAAATTAATCTGCATACATTTTAAATCAATTGTTGAGCAAGGATGAAATAATGTATGCATTAAACAAACTGCATTCAACCAGCATTCCTTAACCTTTACCAGGGAAATACCTCAACTAATAGCAGGCAAAAGCTCCCTATGTTATTTCTTAGGGAATCAGTGGGCCACTCAGGCTACAATAAAGCAATGGCAGAAAGAAATACTGAATTCATCCATTATATACAGGCTCTCTGGCTCTGTCTGTAAGGTCCTGGCAGGTACTAGTCAGCATTGCTCCCGCAGCCATTGCATTGGGGAACACGGAGGTGAACAGTTCCTATGCTAACAAATCAACAGGCACTCTCTAGCAACATACTCCAATTTTCAACTCTATACATTTTGAGATGCTAATTGGAAAAAAAAAGGAAATGCTCTCTTTTAAAACAAAAGAGATAAAGGAACCAGGAGTTGTCTGCATTCCAGCACCTTACGTACCTGCAAAGGTGTTGGGTTTGAAAGCAGAGTCTAGGGGTGGACCGAACAGTGTCTCTGAACCCGGGACTGTAGAACTGATCCTGGAAAACAATATACAGAAGGGAATGTCACAATCTAAATAAATATTTAAAGGCCAGAAAATGGCTTAATGCTACTTGGCTGGAGCCCGGGACAAAGCAGTCGGAACCCCCCTGTAAAAAAGAGCTAGGAAAATGAAGCCATGCAAAACGAGGCTCTAAAATGAGGTTTTTGATTCCAAAGAGGAGAAAGGAATAAAGAAACTTTTTAATATACTAAAATCTGCTGCGCTAGTCTGAAGAATAGAGGCCAGCTGTTTACCTGCTGTGCTCAGGGCTGGATGTAGTACACCTTCGCAATCTGTCTTGTTCATTGTCTAGGAGAAAACAAAAAATAGCTTCATTTGAACAGTTTCTTGTATGTTTCCCCATCAAACACTACTCCTGACATTCTAAAAAATGTAGATGAAAAATAACAATAGTAAACTTTCTTGTTATACGACACACAGGTTAGGTCTGCACAGTAAAGAGCTCCAAGCTTTCAGCTTTTATTTATTGATCCTCAGTGATTGACAAATGATGCACTGGCCACACATTGAAGTATTAATGGACAAAATCGACTTTCATACTTTAGAAAGCTTGCAGAGGCTTTTGCCCTGCTACTGTATTAACCACCAATGGTTCCATTTTAATAAGGGTTTGAAAATAAGAAAATCATTCATTGCTGTAGGGGGGTTAGCAACTGACTAAAATGAAAAGGCTGAAAAGGCAGGCTTACTGGCCAAAATCCCATCCTGCCATCCAGAAGCCTTGCAAAAAGAAAAAAAAAGATGAAAACCGGACATCTGTTTGGCTTTAAAGGTGATTGTAACTCTTGTAGCCTTTTTGCTTTGCTTTTTGTACTGAGACGCTGGCAGCTTTTGCAGAAATTGCAGGACAACCAGCACAGGCGTCATTACAGCACCACCAAGGCCAAAACCAGATGGGCACCCTAAGGTTCCCCCATCAGTGTGATTCACCTGTCCTCAGTGCACCAGCACGGACAGCCAGCGCTCACATAAACAAAGCCTGAATGGCACTTTTCCAGGGCAGAATGGGCTGAACTGCAGTGTATGAGGATGTTACAAACAGTAAAGTCGATTTGTTACCATTATAAAAGTGACTAAGGGGCTGCCTGGGAGCAGCAATACAGCAGTGATGTTGTCTGTTGCTTGCAGCTGAAAGCCAAACAGGTAGCAGATAAACACCACTCTTCTCTGGAGTGGAGAAAAATTCCCTCCCTGTGCCAAGAATTGGCAACGGTACACTGCACTATACTGTGCTGTTAGCCGATACCAGTGGTTCCTTGCTTACTCCTCTGGGTGGCGCTGTCCCCTTCTCCTCCAGAGCGCACTCCTGTCACAGAGCTGGAGTTTCCTGTAGTAGATGCATTAGAATTGATTACCTGATACTCAACACCTGCTGCTGCACAATGTTTTCTAGACACTCTCTCCCTCCACATCACACTTGCCTTTCCCAGACCTGGGTTGTAAGAAACATCACAAGTAATAAAGCAAAGCCAGAATCACGTCCATCATCCTCTGCCCATGAAGCAGCGTACAACCCAAGATAAGAAACACCGAACATATAACACTGGGACACCAGTATTCTGGCTACCTTGCGGTTTCTACATTCACCTTAAAATAAAATTGATGTTCTTCCACTCAGCAATGGAAACTAATTTAAAAAAAGAATCATGTGTGCAACCCCAACAGCTTCATATTCCAACCCATCAATCTATTTGTTGCTGTGCTGGTGTTGCCTAGGGGTCACGCAATTTAATTTCTGACAGACTGCTCTGCAGAGGCTGCCCAGCTGTCAGCGGTATTCACCCGTCTGCAGAATGGATCAGGGCTCAGCGTCCTCGAAGTGGCTAGAGCTGCCAATCAAGACTAATTCAAGATTCCACGTGAAGCTCCCAGATTCACATAACTGGCTTGAAACTAAACCCCCCCGAAATCCAACGGCTTTCAATTCAGCTGAGATGAAGAAGTAAAGAGCAAAACTTACTTGTGAGATGCCTCTTGACAGACACCTGTAAGTGCAAATGAAAAATCTAAGATTACATCATTATATTTCAGGATGGAAATATTTCTGAATATTTCAGTTCTCTTTAACCCTCTGCTGCATGAGGAGGTCAGCCTGCTTCTCCAGACCCACACTCTAGTGGCTCTTACAGGTCATCGTAAAATCATTGGTCTACAGACTTGAAACATGTGGCATTTTAATCTGTTCAGCAGGTTAATCTGTACAACTAACCTTGAAATGGCCAGGTATGTAATTCAAGAGTTGCATGGTGTGCAGGTTTTGATTTTATCTGTTCGTTAAATCAGAGATCACTGGTAGAAATGAAATTGCTCCGAGTGTGTGTTTCTACACTGATGATGTTAGGCAGGGCTGTCCTGTCCTGGAGGACAGGTGGATCTTCAGGTTTTTCAGGGGTCTTCAGAGCAGCTGCACCTGAAGAGCTTGGAGAAGCTGGCCAATTGGCCTAAAGAAGATCAAGCTGACTGAAAACCTGTGGATGTTCCAGCCCTCCGTGGAAACTCATTTATATAAATGGTGCTTACGTTTGCGCTTATTTTCTAATGACCATCTCCCATTTTCTCATGCTACTGCCCAGCTGGAGGTACAAGCCTGTGGCTTCTATGTGACCGTCTACATCAGGCCCTGCATGACGTGCACGACCCGCCGGTACCAAGCAGTCCGAGTTGACTCATTCTTAAGTTACAACATACTGTGCATGAATTTAAGAACCGAGACAGAGAAGACTGCAGGTGTGGGGCAGCCTGGGAGAGCCAAGCAGGACCTCAGTGCCGCAGGAAGCACAGGTCTCCTGCTTCTCCACTGCGTCTCTTCCAACCATGAGCCACCAGTCGGGTATGCGCACCCCACCCATGACCCTGTAACTCCCCTGTCGCCCCACCCCTGCCCACAGTAGCCCGGCGTACCCCTCTCTGCGGGGGCAGGGTCAGAGCCCCCACAGTGGCCTTGAGCTCCTGCTCGGCCGCCGCAGAACTGTGCCGGCCCCCGCTGGCCACAGGCCGGATCTGGATGTGGAACTTCTTGGGCTCGTCGTCGTCGAAGTCAGAGTCACTGGAGTAGAAGTTGGTCTCTTTCTCATGTGGGGGGGGGAGTCAAGGAGGCCGGAGCCAGACAGAAAAAGGGCCTCGCTCTGCACACTGTCACCCCCGACAGGAAGCTATCAGCTTCCTTCACACCACTTCTTATCTCTTGCAGTTTCCTGTTGCTAAATCCTTAACTGCTGCCTGTAATGCGAGATGTTCCTGTAAGGAGCTGGTATTTGTCTCCATAGTCAGTTATCAGGTGCAACAGCTAAACTGTTCCTAAGATGCACCGACTTTGGAATAAGTGTCACGAACTGGGAGATTTTACAGCACAAATACGCCAAGTGCTTAGGTGAAGAATTACTCTCCTAAAACCAGTGCGCATTAATAATATACTTCCCCCAACTCATTTCCTGTCTTTTGACTTGGAGGAGTGTGAAAAACTCACTTTATCAAGGTAGACGGCTCAGTCACATGACTGCACCATGGGACAACAAAGTTTGCCAGAAATACGGAAGGAACAGTGGGAGCAAGACCATTAGTGTGTCACTACGCAAAGGGAGGGCGGTGCATGTCGTCGGATGTGGGCTACTTGAATGTGGTCCTGTTTGCATTTGTACGCAACTTCATTTTGTGGTCTGAAGGGTAAAAGGTCATGAAGAAAACCACACACAGCACATCTGACAGGAAATGGAATGGGCAATGCAATAACACAGCAGATGAAATTACATCTAGGATTCAAAGTCTAATTGTTAACTGGGATTGTGCCCCCCTGACAGCAGCTGCTGCTCTCAATGAGCTTCAGAGCTCAATAGGGGACTGTTCAAACCATTCATGTTAATGGCTATTACACTCCTTTACAGTGCCAATTTAGTTAGATTACTTAGGTGTTTCATCTAGTCATTCAAGGAGTTAAACAAGAAAATTAGGTGTGCAAGAGTTACTCCATTGCATGGAATACATTTGCCTCTGCTGATATCCGAGCTTCTGTCAAGAAACAGCTGGATAAGATCTGTGAATCAATTAACTACCAACTACAAAACAGACTAGATGGGCAGAATGCTCATTTACAGCACTTATGTTCTTAAGCTCCAATTTATGACAAATATCCTTGTTTCGTTTCTAAAAGTTTCTCAAGAAACCTGTGGTTTCAAAGCCATGTGGGCAAGAATATGTGTCCACAGGCTCTTCCTTGAAGCAGGCTAGGTCACTAAGTCACCCCCAGAGCCGTCTGTATTGTTTCATACAAACAATAAGTGATGACGAAACCTTCCTCTGTCTTTGGGATCTCACTGAAAGGCAGAAAATGAGTAATGTTTGGAGGTAATTTGCAAAATGAAAGGGGGTGGATCAAGCAAATCTAATACTACTTCAGTGAAATGGTTGTCAGCTGGTGCAATACTGTGGACCATACAGGCAGTATAGCAAGCTCATTTCCTTCTGTTCCTACAATGGAGACATTTATCAGCCCGTGTGCGTCAGCACATCGTCCATCTGAACCCCATCTGTTGCAGTTCCACTGTGTTCAGAGCAGTGAATAGCTCTAAATTCACTTAGTAGATAAGGCCCCTGTGTGATTCTTTGTGGGTCTTGAAAAGGGAATCTGGCAGAGACTGGGGGGGCCAGTTGGACGCAGGAAAGGATATCGTTCTGGTTGATGTCCGCACGGATCACAAAGCCCTCTGCGTCCACCTCGGGGGAGTTCTGCAGAGCAAGACACAGCATTGTGAGCGATCTCAGCGTGCAGAGGCAGACATCTGTGAACCCGGGAGTTTTAGAGACTTAGTAATACATTCAAGAGGGTTGCTTTGCCTCACCCTCAAGATCTAGGAAGCCCCCTGATATCCAGGAAACATGGCACTGCTGGAAGCCTACCATTTAAAAGTCACATAGGCTTGTATGCGTCCACCACTGATACTGCTGCTGACACTCCTGCTTAGCACTTAATTCACAAGAGTGCTGAAAAAATATCATGTTGCTCTGTAGTTTTACTTTAACACTGTGTAATAATACAATGTTTTTAATGATTTAAAGCTTGGGTCTGAAATGAGAGTCCTGGCACGAAAAACCTGCAGTTCTCAACAGATACAGTGTTAAAGATGTGTGTGGCTTTAATATATTTTACACAGGTACTTACTGGTGCTTCAGTAACAGCAGAATCCCTGTAAAAAAAAAAAACAAAGTGAGTGAAATTAAGATGGTGATCGTATATACATTTTCAAAATCTCTTTACTACAAAAACACTTCCATCGATGTGTACTATTTTAATTCAGCAAGTCTTCACTAAATAAAATGCATGAGATCTAGACACAGTCAGTGTGTCAGTGCTGCTATATCACAACCCTCTTTTGTGCCTGACGCTCGTAAATCCAGAGTGTCTGAACTGAAGAGAAAGTGTGCCCATCTGCGTGGAGACCAGAGCCCCGCGGAGATAAACAGCGCTGGCTCTTACGTGGAGTCGGGCTCCTTCTCCCTCTTTCCCAGCCCTGGGATGCGGAAGGCCTTGTTGCGGATCTTCTTCCCCACCTCCAGCACGGTGCTGGAGCTGTACTCCTCGAAGCCCACAGACGCTGAGGGAGAGCAAAAACCGTGTGCAAAACAGGAAACCACAGACAGACCTCCCCACCTGTCTTCGCCAGCCCACACCCTTGTGTTTCTCTTTGTGGGGAGTCCCCCCTGGCGCTCACCTGCTGTTCTCTACTCTGCAGAAATGAAACTCGACTCGGTGTGAATGAAGACCCCCAGAGAAACAGGCTTGGACCTTTTATGTTTAAAGGAAGATGCTATTTTGATGTACATAAAAAAGCAAGCACAGTCTAGAATAGCCAGTCAAACCTAGTCTTTGGAAGGTGGAATCAGAGTGCCCAGCAAAAAACCCAAACAGACACAGAAATGACATTCAAACTTCACACAGACAGGCAATAAAACTGGAATTGAATCCAGAACTCAGAGGCTGTAGTGCTCACCACTGTGCCCTATGCTGTTAGTGTCAAATACTATTAACTAGAAAGAAATGGCTTTATAGTCACCCAAACGGGAAAAAACCTTCTCCCAACCAGTCAGGCAAGCAGAACTGGGGGTACCTGGCCTCTCCTTGCCTGTCCCTTTCTGCTCAGCAAATTTCTGGATGAGATTCTCAATCCCAATGTTTTCCACATTCTGTTTGAATTCCTCATGAACCTAAACACAATGGAGAATGAGAATGAAGAGTAAGAGCTGAGGATGTGAGGAAATTAGCACTAATTTAAAACGAGTGTAAAACCCGAAGCATGGCTCTTAAAAACACCACCGTGCAAAACAGCTGTTTGGAATAAACTGCTAAATGAAACGGCATTGGAAGATCTAGTTAACGGATTGCGCCAAGAGACAAGCATCTTGTAATGCACATGGTTTTTACTATGCATCACTCAGTATTATCAAGGTCACACGCCCACTGTGGCTAGCCAGGACTTTAAATCACCCCTTTGATTTTCAAACATTACTGATTTAGCTGTATAGATATGTTCAAAAACAGACTTCTTTTGATACCTTAAAAGCAACAAGTAGGCTGTCTGATGATCTGATTCAAAAGATAAAAAGAGCCTTATTCAATTCAATAGAGCCTTATGGAAAAGTCCCCTAACTTTATAAGCACCTCCGTATGAAATGCAGCAACTATTACTCTGCCTTATGTCTAAATTCCCACAGATCTGGAATAGCCAATTGGCACTGAACTGGGTGCTGGTTTCACAAATTGGTATTAGCTGTCCTCGGACAGGCAGTTACAAAGTGCCCGATTCTCACAAATCCAGCACTGCCCATCCAGATCAGTCAGCAAAACTTAGGCTTTCTTACATTAGGTAGTCCAGACCTATTCCTAATTGGGGTCTGTGCCACTGCCGGTGTTCGGTCTCAGTGATTGGATAAGAAGAAAAAACTTAGTAAACATCGGGCATGTGAAGTGCTAATGAACAATACTGTTATCGTTTAAGACTCGGCACAAGCTACTTGTCAGGAACCTGTGGAGCACCCACATGAATTATATGGCCTTTTCTGCCCTGTGAAACACCAGCATGAATTGCTGAGGAAGCTGGCAGGGCCCTAGCGTCAGGGTGGCAGAAGCATGAGCGGTGAAAGCCGCAAGAGGGGGCGTGTCCAGAGCCCATGTGATGGCGGCCCGCACATCGTCACAATCACACCCTGAGCCACAGGCCCTCACCCAGACCTCAACACTACCCGTTTCCATTTCATCTGTTTTCGAAAACCTCGCCGCATCACCCAGGAACACAGATAGCTCTGCTCATTGTTTGCTTTTAGTTGAGAATGTTTGAGCACAGAATGAGTGGGTACCAGTCGCCCTCTTCTACCACAGAAGGAGCGTGACTCGTGGTTCAGGAAGCTACGCTGAGCGGACAGTCCCCAGACTTGGCCGTGTGGCATTCTGGGGATTTTCTGAAACGCAGGATATGTCGGTGTTTCTTGAACTGCGGCTCGGGACGACATCTAGGTCTTGTTTCAGGGCACATTTCCCCTTTAAATGGAGAACTGTTCTGCCCTTTAAAGACAGAACAGCTCCAACAGCTGTCCCATCAGCAGTGACTTTCTCAAGGCTCTGTGCCACAGATGTTTTCATCTCTGTGCAAAGAATTGTGCTCAATCTGGAGACGGTGATATATGTATTAAAATAATTTAAAAACAAAACTGTATGTGCTGAGGAAATTGGGAAAAATGCACATAAACAGCACTTGCAAAATGAAATGAGATCTGGTCCACACAGGCCTGATATTATATTCCATCTCCAGTCTGAGGTAGTTCTAGGGAACTACCATAGACAACCAACTCGCTACTTCTCGCAATCACAATCAAAATAGGTTTTTAGCTTCTTATAGTTCCCCCTGCCTGGGCACAAACACGATGACAGACTTCCATCTTACCGAAACAAGGGGCTTCCCATCAGTTAGCTGGACAGTGAATAAAGATCCTTTCACCAGACCCCAGTTTGAGTTTTTGTTATAATATATCTGCATGTTTGTGCCGTGAATTTTTCATTTCGATCGCCATCATTGTTTCTTTTGCCAAAAATGTTTTTTTATAAAATTTAGTTTAGCTCATGTGAAAGCGTTGTAGGGGTTGCTCAATTCTTTAGTACGCAGTGGATACCCCCGTCCACAAGGAGGCGGACCTGAGCCGGGGCAGGGGAAAGGGCTGATGATAGCCGAAGGGTACCTGTCCCACTTGCACATGGGTATCCTCTATGGAGTGGGAATAGGACTTGATCAGCAGCTTCATCTGCCGCAGGTGGGCCTCCTCGATGCTCTGGAACTTCTGCACACACATCAGCAAAAACACAAACACCAACTACATCAGAGCTCCCCAACCCTGTGCTCAGAGCCACAGGCAGGGGGCGCTCTTCTCCCTAGACTCCAGGTCCGCAAGGCCTCCTCCTGCTGTCTCACTCGCACACATCACTGGCTGACTGCGCGACACAACCGGCTGTCTCCCTTCTATGGTCAATTAGAGGTGCAATTACCCATAAAGCACAGAGTGCGGTGCTTTGCAATTCACTGCAGTTGACACCACTTACCAAGCAAGAGTTTCAAGACTAAGAGAAGATTCTCTCAAACTCTGATTAATGCAGCCTACCTCAGCACCAGCGGGAGTGATGCGTCAGTACTGACATGACTCTGTTGCGGTACAATACTGATAGTGAGATACTGAGATAGTGCATAGCTATCAGTTATCGGTACAGCTATGCAGGCAGGATGGGTAATTACTGTGAGCCAGCAACAGAGCTGCGGTGTGTCAAGTTCCAGCAGGTGAAACGCCATTCTGACATGGAGTCTAAGGAGAACACAGTCCCCGTCTTTGTTTCAACACCTTCGAAGAAAAAAAAATCCATGACTTTTCTTTTGCAAGATTTAACAGATCCAGACAAGGCCAGGTGCTTAACCAGCGCTCTGCAGCTTGTAGGGATTCTCCTCCACAGCAGTTAAGGGCTCTCAATAGCCCCCTTCATATCCACGTTCCACTCAACCCAAGTCCATCAATCCTGGGAGTGGAAGGCTCGGCTGTCCCTTTCCCAGCCTGGCACCTCCGAAATCCACCTAGCTGGTGGATCTGGAGACCGGGAGGGGCTCCTCATGGCAAAACAATTCTTATGCAGAATCCTTCCCACAATACCTTGCAACAGCGTCTGCACCCAGCACCAAGTCTAGCTTCCTGAAGGCATGAATGCTTTCAAATGTGTTTGTTAACTCCACTGTTTTAATGATTCCCACACAGAATTGTGAGGACACATTGAATAAACGCTGTGACTCTAAGAGTCAAAGCTGTCCCCAAAAACTGAGCAGAAGCATGTCGATTTCACAGTTTTAATTTTTACTCACTGCTGACATTCAAAATTTATGTTAGTCATGGGACAAGGGCATTTTCTTCTCTGTGTGATATTGACAGAATAAGGTCCCTTTTTATCTAAAGCTGCAAATTGATACATCCTTTTATTAAATAAATAAATATTAAACTACTGTAAAATATTACCCACTGGGGTTTCTACATTTGGTAAACAGGCTTCAGCCTGTCCTGAATTCTGTAGCTCATGTGCAAATAAAACTCCTCCGCACCCACATGTAACTCTGTCCTCTGTTAAATACTTTGGCTGCCTGTAATATTCAGAGGGGATTAAGAGGTTCACCTACTCACTTATATGACACTGAATATTCCAGCTCCAGATTACATTTAGGATTTATTGCATGAACAATGAATAGTCCAACTCAATCTGGAATTTGCTGACCCCTGTATTATTCTGTCCAAGTACATCTTTACTGTTCTTTTTGCTACAGATTTGAATGTATAATATTACGTTTAACATTGGTTTACCTTTTGTCTTATTTGATCTATTTCCTACGTGATTTATTTTTCACTTGTGTTCTGTCTCATCTATGGCCTGTTGTACAGTGCTATGAGTCTTCTGAACAGCACTGAGGATAAACCGAATTTCAATGATAATATTAATGAATGAACTCCCTGATTATCAAGTTACTTAAGGCTTTATCAAGCACAGAGGTGCAAGCACAGGTGTAGGTAATGTAGGAACATAAACATTTGATGTCCTGGTGGTGCATCTGTACCACTGCAGCCCATGTCAAAACAAAATTTTTACCACTAATGGATTTAAAATCTCATAACAGCTAAGAGTAGTATTCATTCACTTTGCCAGATGGTTTCTAGGGAAACAACACAAGTAACCATGGAGACGCCTACATTCTGCATCATCACATATTAACCCGAAATTAGTTCAGATTCGCTGATGCCACGGAGGCTGGTCCTCCGAATTCCCCCCAGCTTGCTGAACCGAAAGGCTGAAACAAAAATGGGGACTGTTCATGGCCTCTTCATAGCTTGCAACAGAACTTCAACACCCCAACAACCATCAAAGCCATTTCCTCAAAAATGTGCTGCAAAACAAGACATGCACAAACTTGAAACATGGACTGCAGAGTATATAAATACCGGAGAAATGAGTGATTTAGTGAATAGATAATGTCATCAGTGCCTTATGCACCTAATGTACGTAATGTATGCCTACATTTTTTATACAGTGACTGGAAAAAGTAGCACCCTCTCCCAGTGCTCCATTCTGTTGGGTTATAATTGGTGTATGCAGACTTTTTAAATCTATACTTTAATTGTATTTTTCTTTTAAGTGATTGCTGACGTATATGTTTCACCCATAAAACTGTTGAGTTGGAGCACTAAAGTTCTCATTAAAGGTATTCACTCGAAAAATGTATATGAATACATAATTCCTTAAGTACTGCATATTCCAGCTGGTGAAGCAATTTCTCACTTCTCCTGATCTGCTGTGTAGTGGAGCTGCTGGCGCGAACTGGTGGGTGGTGTACTGTACTTCCAGGGCCCTGTATGCATGTACAGTCTGTTGCAAAAACTGTGAGAAATTCAAAGGGACTGAAAAGGCATTAAAAGGTCAGGATGTCATCAGGTTGTTTGTAAGTGTCATACAGGAATCCCAATGTGATACTATTCAGGTAATTACCTAAAGCAATAAGTAAAGAACACTCTTATCCCCCAAATACCTATTGCTCATGATTTACCTTCAAGAGAATGAATGATCTCTCCTAGTTGTAAATCTTGTAGGACACAGCTGTATAAAAACCACAGCATTTTTACATCCCTGTCAATAGAGTTTATTAGCCGATTTTTCAAAGTTTCAACCAATGTCTGTGATGTTGTGAAGTAAAATCTTAGTTAACAGTGAAAAGCTTGAGACTTAAACCCTGCCGTGATCCGAGGTGACTTCCTTCTCTCCCAGAACCCTCCTCTCTGCAGACCCCGCCCCTCACCTGTGCTGATTCGCTCATCTTCTGCTGGAAGTCCCCGCCCACCCGGTTGTACTTCTCCACGCAGGTGCTGAAGGACTCGGCGGCTTTCTTCGACTTGGACTCCGCCTGCGGTCCCCGGGAACAGAAAGCAGAAAGGAAGTCAGCCCTCGCCCTCTCCCTCGCCCTCGCCCGTCCCCGGGGAGAAAACCTCACCTTCTCCAGCTCCTTCTGCGGCGCCCCCTCTCGGCGCAGGCGCTCCAGCTCCAGGCACTTGCTGTGGTAGTTCTCCTTCGATTTCTGCAGGTGGCTGCTGGACGCCTGCAGGTTCTGCACGGCCTCCAGCGTCCCTGTCACCTCCTCCTTCGTCTGGGAGGCAAGAGACAGGGCGGCGCACTCAGAGCGAGGGTGTATAAAAGGGCAGGATATAAGGCACACGCTTGGGTGGCGTCTAGTAAGCTTTTGGAGGGATTTCTGCTGCTTGGAAACCTGTTCCAGACACCCACCACCTTTTGTGTACAGACACCCACCCGATTCTGAATCTTAAATACACCTCTCCTTTTATCCACTGTTACTATTTTGCTTCAGAATATAAAGTACCTAATTGAGTATGTTAACAGCTTTAAGGATTTTTAACAGTTGTATCAAGTCCCCCCATGAACATGTGTGCTCAAGAGTGAAGATATTCAGCACTTTAATCCATCTCTACACAACTTTTCATTTAAACTTGGCGGTTTATACCGTATGCTGTACATCTCAAAATTATTTTTTGGAATTTGGAATCGCCACTAATTTCTCTACATTCGGAAGTCCAAACTGGAATACTTTAGGACACGGTGCCTTGCAGTAGACTGGGGAAGTCTCTCATTGGTACCATGACTGGGATGACTCCAGGAAGCCCCAGTGGTGTTCAGGCAAAACTGTGTCCTACAGCTTTGGGAGCCCTAGTCGTTACCAGCCAATGACAACCAAGACTCAAAGCAACATCTATAGACTATTACAGCTGGTTCACTGGGAAGCCCCTCTTCTCCTTTTCCTGTTTCAATCTCCCTTTCTGAGTCAGTGCACCTTAGGTTAGGTTTGCTTAGGTTTACTTGCACATGCACAGCCAAAAGAGAGGTTTCTGAAAGATCTGCAGTAAGTAGTAAGACAAAAGAGTGTTATACTCCTTTTCATATCCTTACCCTTTTATAAGCAGGAGATAAATATATAACTGAAACAGAAAAACAGCACAGGATACCATGTAGATAAACAGAATTCTGCAGCTAGAAAAAGTGAGGCAACCACACAGCGAAGTCTGTAGGAGATCTGGATTGGCTCCGAAAAAAACTGACAGCTGGGGACTCCAAGCGGCCAGACGTACCTTGCGGTGAATTTTGACCTGTTCCTCCCCGTACTTGTTGATGTCGCGGATGAGATCATTCATCTTCCTCATCAGCTCCAGGTGGCACAGGGCCAGCTTGTCGCAGGACACCCGGAACACATCCCACATGGGAGCGAAGGTGCTGCCGGGAAAGGGGAAGAGGGAGAAGAGAGTAGCACACTGGGACAGCGGGTCTCAGTCCTGGTCCTGAAGTCCTCCTTGTTTGCTGGTTTTCATTACAGCCAAGTAACCACAGGCTAATTTATTTCAATTTGCTTTCTGCTGTTAAAAAAATGTGTAATTATAGTATAGTATTGTAGTATCAACCATGTGCTAACGAGTGCTCTGGAGCTGCCCCCATTCATTTGTGCACGTTGAAGCCTAACCAATTGGAATAACACACAAGACAAAACAGACACCCTGTGGGCGTGTCAGATTACAGTGTCACTCCCACTGTGGGCGTGTCAGATTACAGTATCACTCCCACTGTGGGCGTGTCAGATCACAGTGTCACTCCCACTGTGGGCGTGTCAGATTACAGTGTCACTCCCACTGTGGGCGTGTCAGATTACAGTGTCACTCCCACTGTGGGCGTGTCAGATTACAGTGTCACTCCCACTGTGGGCGTGTCCAATACAGGGTCACACCTACCTGTGTCTGTTCATCAATTAATGTTCTATTAAGAGCTGGTGAGTCCAAAATAAGATGAAATCCTTTATTAGGAAGCTGAGGAGAGACTATGTACAGTTCTATCTTTTGACGTATATGGAAATAAAGCACTTCAGTTTATTTTTTAAACCAAGGACTGGGTATGGCAACAATCGAATCTAGCAAGCAGATCAGACACAGGCACGGTGATTAGCCCTGGTGATTAAGGGCCTGGCTGGTCTAAAACAGCAGACAAAGGGTCACCCTGGACCAGGGCTGAGAGCCACTGCCCTGGTGTGAGAGGAGACACTGCCACTTAATCAAACAGCACAGACTACACAGGGAACATCCTCACAGCTCCCAAAGAGGTCTGAGAGCAGGAAATGAGCTGGCGTGTAGAGACACTGAAAACTGGGGCAAGTCAGAGGGGAAACCTACATTTAATTAAACTACAGCATGATATACTGCACACACATTCAAGGATCCTGTTAAGTCTGTCGCTACTGTACAGAATGCTGGTAATAAACGCTTCTTTTTTACATAATATACATACTGCCCAGGCTTTAGAGTAAAAAGACCAGGTTAACCACTATATATCACACACCGAAAGCAGTATGTTCTTTTCTTAGCATGTTTATGGACCTTTCATGGCATATCCTCCAAATGTGGTATCGTTAGGAATTATTTATAATCTTGGCTCACAGCAGAGACTCCTGCCCCAGGGCTGGCATGGTGAGGAAGGGCAGAAGCAGAGGAAGGTGCTAGCCTGCAGGCACCTGGGAAATCACAGGAGCTGCTGTTTTGCCCAAGAGCCTTGAAAGCCTGGCTGTCTAATCCTAACCCGGCCCCTAGGGGGTGCTCTTCCACCACACACCAGTCACAGTCAGCCAGTGACAGGGTGCAGGGATGAACTAGCAAGCCTTTCAGGTTGTGAACCCCCCCAGTGAAGAAGTGTGTTTTATTAGCTGGCGTTGTGCCGTTCAGTAGATGTCCAAGCGGAAGTGTGAGCTGACAGCCCTACTCACCCCAGCTGGCTGCTGTTGCTCGCCATCTTGGCCAATTTATTCATGGACTTTGAATAAGTCTCCTCAATGGCCGCCCTGCAGAAAATACAAACAACCAATCAGAGTGCATCAGCTCCTTCATTTTGGCCAATCACAGCACTTCAGGTTATTCTGTCATTCCTGACACGTCAATAAAGGCAATAAGAATGTGTCATTACATGTACTATACCCAAGGAAACCAGAATTACTGGGTTTAACACAAAAAAAAGAAGACAGAACCATCTCAGATTCCAAAGAAATGCTTTCAGAATAATTAAGGGAAGGACAACTTCAACAGCTGGTCAGCAATGAAAAATGTCTCTTGGTACATCTCTTGTATTAAAAATGGAACACCTTGGAAGTTTTGAGCTGGATGTATGTCTAAATAATGTATCACCCAATTTCAGAACTTATAAAACTTTAATACCTATCCTTCTATCCTTAAACCTCTTTAGAACAGAGGGAGAAATATATTTTTTTCATCTGCATGGATGTATGTTTATGCTACCGACAGAGCTAAAGGAATGTTAACAGAACGGCAGGTTACCAAGCGTAAGGTGGTCAGCACCTCTCGAAGGCTAATATCTCACTCTCCGCTTTGAAGTTGGGAATAAGTGTCCCTTTACTTCTGTGTTCCAATCCCAGACTTTAGCCTGTGAATTCCTCAGCGGAATAGAGATGTTGGAACATTGACATAAATATCCTAGTAGAAAGACATTGTAATTTTTAAGTTTTTACATCTCCATCTCCCTTTTTTCCCTCCAGGTTTTAGTTAAACGAACTTAATTAATGCAATTAATTTCACATCTTCCCAGTTAATTACTTAAGACACCCATAAAGCTGGAGAACTGCAAGACCTCAGGGAATGCAGTGGAATCATTTTGAGATTTGTCATTAAATTCTTTAGGCAACAGTATCTTCAGAGAAACTAATTAGGCTCCTTCCAAACCCAATCAGATGAAGCTACTGCTGGAAGTAATCAGGCAGACTACACAGGCTGTGAGCCTTTAATTACAAGCTGGAGGAAAGCCAGGCAAATTCAGCTGCTCACAGGTAATATAGAACTGTTGACTGGCCTTTAATTAAAATGTAAAGAAAGCTGGAAACTGGGTCACTAACTTAGGAATCTTTCAAAAACCTGTAACAACTGAATAGTCAGGTAAGAACAGAAACCTTGGTTAAAGAGTTACCAGCGATCAAATATGCAAGTTGTTTAAAGATTGAAGAATTCTGAATTTAAACAGCCTTTTACATTCATCTTGAACAAGTGGGCTTTTTTGCTTTCTGTTAAACCAGATACGGTTGAAGCTGATACTTTCGTTACAAGGATTTGCCTCCTAAAGTTTCTAAGCAAAGATCTTGATATTTTGTGTTTTCAAAATGAATATACTGGTGTAAGGGATTTTATAAATAATACCTACTAATCCCTGGGTAATCATGACTCATGAGAATGAGAAAAAATAACAGCTGGAAAGCAGCTTTAATCAGAATTTAAAGTGTAATCAATTCAAGAGCTCTTCAGATAAAACACTGGTGGAGCCAATTTAAAATGTTTTTTATACTAGTTGAGAACTGGCTTTATTTACTCCAAACAGCCCTTTGCTCAAAATCTTTACAGTACATGAGAAAAAATTGTTCATACTTGTGCTTTCAAACTTCTACATCAACCTACAGAGATTTATTAGCAAACTGTTACTGTCAAATAAATATTTCCAGACAACAAATGCTCGTTTCTAAAAAACTCCCGACTTTTAAATTTTCTCTCGGTTCTCTTTTTGGGAGAGGAAATTTCTAAACACTCATATTTTAACACACAGCTCAGACTGACAAATAGCAGTAACAGTTAAATCTCACAAAACACTTTTTGTTGATGCAAAGGGTCCACAGTAACTATGATCTTCATAGGCAAACAGAACTCAAACCACTAGAACTATAGTTAAGGCCCCCAGAGGGATTTCCTCCCACAGACCCAAGACATACTGGTAGGTTAACTGGATCACAGTAAAACCGGTCCTGGTGTGAGTGTATGTCTGTGTGCCCTGCGAGGGACTGGCATCCCATCCAGGGTGTACACTGCCTTGCTCCCATTGTTTGCCAGGATCGGCTTTGGCTTCCCCACAACCCTGTACTGGATAAAGTGGCTAGAAAATGGATGGATGAGTAAATGGAGGCTTCCAGTGGGATCCTGGCCTTCAATGACACTCCGTGGTGTGAACGGGCACTCATCAGAGAGAAGTACGTCCCAGTATGAAAACGCACCATACACTTCTTGGCGCTGCATGTTCAAAGCCGAGGCCCTCCACAGAGAAACACTTCTTCATTTTCGTTCGCTGAGATTTTGACCCGCAGCCTGAATGAATACGTCTAATTTTGTTGGGGGATTTTGGTTTACGTAAATAAGGGGGATTTGAAAACAAGCAGGCGCAGCTCAAACAGAAGTCCCTGTCTCGCCTGTTGAACAATTAGAGAAGGGAAAAACAGCCTTTGAGCAGACTGTGGCTTTGAGTGCTGGACATTCTTTCAGCTCAGACCAGCACTGGCTTGTCGAGAAAGGAGCACAGATGTTATCGGTTCTCCAGCTTTTCAGTATCAAGAGGCTACAGCAGCAACAGAAGATTCCCAAACAAAGTGTGACCCGACTCACAGTCCAGCTGCATTCTGAATTCTGATTCACCCTACACACGCGCGCACTCTCTCGTGCCAGAAAGACTCCCTCGTTTCTCTCCGTCACCTCTCCCACGCTCATTCTGCCACCTCGGTTACACAGCCGGCCTCTCACCTCTCGCGGACGAACTCCGCCAGCTCCTTGGTGGCGATCTGCCCATGTTTCATGTTGTGGTAGAGAACATCAAAGCCAGCATTCTTATCCCCCTGAAACATAACACACACGTGAGCCATTGCTGGAAGATCATGGAGAAGGGGCAGAAGCCAGTGTTTGTGTTGTGGAAACCTGACCTGGGTTCATTCCTCATCCAGCATGAGTGCATTTTAAACAGCCACCTGTTTTATGTGATATTTCAGAAATAACTGAAAGGTGGGGATAACATGATCAGAAACAGGCATTGTGCCCCATAATGGCCTTTTTCATAACAATTTAAAACTCATTTCAAACCTAAACGCCATGACTTCTTGCATCCTCTACAATGCTGTGACACACCAAGCCTTATTTTCAGAAAGGGCCAAGGCAGACAAGAGAGGTTTTGTGGCAGAGAGACTTTGAGGACATGAATTTAGTATCAGACAGATTCAGCTTTTTATAGCTCATTATGAAACTGTATTGGAACAGTGCTTTTCCATGCTACTGGAAATACAGGAAATGAGGAAAAGCTCCCATTTATCTGTAACTTTCTAGCTAATTCCTCAGAGATGGATTTCAACATTTTCAATCATATGGCAACTCCTTGCGGAGGCTGATGTATCTCAACTCTTTTCAGCTTTCGGGGAATCCCAAAATAAAAAGGAGTACAATGAGACAACCGACTGAAATTCTCTGATATACTCGCAGATGAAACATCACCAGCCAGTTTTCATACCGTTTACAGCAGAGGTCTTGTCCGAAAGTTATCCAGCATGCTTTTAACTCTCAAGTAATTGTGGAGGTGTACATTGAACCATATCACTCAGAAACATTTCTTGAATGAACTTGTAATGGTCAACAGGCAACATGGTGGCATGCTTTGACAACTGATAAGATTAACAACAGAAATAACTAGACATGGAGTAACACAACTGAATTTCCCACACAACGCGTTTGGATGGGGAGGACTCAGGTGGGAAACTGATTTGTGAAATTAACTTTTAATTCCATTACCATCTACTGCCCAGAGTACAAAAAAAGAAGGCCATTAAAAATAAATCTATACATAAAGAGAGTGGTCACTAAAGCCAGAAATGACAGTGCAACCTATTTAGGACCAGAGAAGACAATCTAAAACAGACAGGCTAATCACAGGGCTTGTCATCACTCTAAACCCAACCTCCTGATACACTGTACTGGTTTTATCATCACCCTGAGACTGACCTTGTGTCACTCTGCACTGTGAATAAACACTGGCCTTCTGAACTTCCTCTCGAGTCATCTGTGAAGTCTGAAGAGAAGAAGCGTTCTTACTTCCTAATTGTGGAAACACTGTTTATTTCAGACTGGGACAGAAATGATGCCTAGTGTAAATGTGATGTCACCCAGGGGATTTTATGAAGGGGCACTGGAAAAAAAAAAGCAGTGACTGTTCTCCAGTGACTCATCCAGCAAAAGCCCCCGTTTGGAGTTCCAATCACAGCACTGAACTCAACCAGGAGCAGAACAGAGCCATATAACTTCATGCCCTGCATGCTGCACAAAGGGCCGGCTACCAAACGGCTCAGCGCAGTTTGCATGGGTTGCTCATGTAAATGTGGCTCCCTGTGAAAAAGACTTTGCAGAAGTCCTGAACGGTTTGTGCACAGACAGCAGCTCACCCGCAAGCAAGGGAAAGACGATCGCGGCCCTGACACTGCAGCGTTACTCTTCCGAGGGCGTGTGTGCCAGACCGTGGGCTGTTGAGGTTCACGGGAAGGCATGCTGGGAAACCGCGGACGACACCCTGTGCTATCCAAGTGCTGCTTCTGCTAGACGCCACCCGGGCTCCTTCTCCGACCAGGTTCGCGCTTCCCGTCACGACGGCAGGCCTCCGAAGGCGGGGGACCAGACGGAGCAGACGGCTTCCCGCCCTTAGCGTCAGACCCGAGCGGCAGCCCAGCCGGCTCCATCTAGCGCCGCAGACGGCTCGACGGCTGCGCGCCCAGGAGAGGCCGCCCCGCCCAGAGCGCCTGGCGCCGCACTCCGGCACTCAGCGCCAGGGCACTGCCAGCAGACACAGCGCCTCACCCTGCCCCGCCAGCGGGAAGAGCAGAGCCAGGCCCCCAGAGGAGCTGCACAGTGCTGTCAGCCTCTGTCCTGGAGCAATGGCCGACTACAGAGCTCAGGGTCACAGACACAAAACTTCAGTAAGAGGCACAAGCCCTTGAATTGTAATAAAGAAGCTACTTCCAGCAGTGGTCTGCATTTCCATGGGAGATAGAACTTGTCGGTTCTTCATGGTTTCTTAAAAACATACCGGAAGCCAAATGAGCACCTGTTTTTAATTCGTAGTTCTGCTTTTAAGCAAACTGAAGACTGTAGATGTTAACAGGGGGGGTTTTACTTCTTCTTTTTTTTGCCAATAAACTTGACCGGATCTGGATTACATGTGCAACTGAGGAGGAGTAAACTCAAGCAGTGCAGAGTGTTCAAACCTTCCTCCCACGTCCTGTTTTGAATAACAGCATTTACGCATCTAAATCTGGTACCGACGTACATTTTTATGAATCAAAAATGGTCCCGTCTCCTGGCGGCACATTTATTTTCACATACATTTCGCATTTCACTACCAGGAGTGCAAGAGTGACCCGATTTGGGAAAAAAACAGATCATGGGATCAGCTGGTGCTTTCGAGGTCAGCTCACCATGAAAATAAAAAACGGGAAAAGGGAAAAACAGACATGATTAGAAAGAAAGAAGAGGCTTGTTGTAAAAACTGCCTTTGCCCGAAAGCAGCTGCTCAAAGACGACTGTACAGCTGAAAGGCGGAGAGATTTCTCTGCACAGTCACGGAGGGGGAGTCTCTTCAGAAAGAGAGAAAAACAGACTAAAACAACTGCATCTGTGTTTGCAGACTATAAATATCCTGACAGAGCAGCAGGGGCAGCATTCCCAGGTAGCTGTGGAATGTCAGGAACGCAAAGGATCCCTCAGATGAAGAGGGCATCTGTTCCAGGCACAGAAAAAGAAAGGACACTCAGCACATCCTCAACACAAAATCCACTGTAACTCGAACAGCTGAGGGAGCCTGGAACAGGAGTGCACGCAAGAAAACTTCTAATGACCAAGTCAGTAAAAATAAAAACATTTGCCTCTCAAGAATTTCTTGAAGAAAAAGAACCAGATCAATCCATACACAGTACTGTCACTTACATCAGAAATATTTGAACATGGGTTAACTCCACTCCAGTCCCACGGGATTTAAACTCTGCCTGCCAACCCGAGCCAGACGCTGCCGAGTCCCGTGAGACACTCCCCCGGTATTCCGCGTGTCGCCTGCTCCTGGGTTTCCTCTCTCCCAGTGACACCGGGGTCACAGACTCCGCACTTCACCGGCACTGAAACCCGAGCGTGTCACCGGACCCTGTGCCGGGTCGTTCGGCCCTCCTCTTACTTTTAGAACGGGGATCTGGTTTCTCTGTGCTGCGGCCCAGCGAGAGACCAGCCCAGGGAGCGCTCCGGGCAGCTGTATCCCAGCGTTAGAGCACCACACAGCACCGTGCCCTTTCCTGGTCTTAGCCTTAAAGACCGAAATACAGCTCCTGCAGTGGGGCGCCTCTTTTAACAACGTCTGCCATGTGTATCGCACACCCATTCCCATGGGAATCGCCCGCTGTTCTTTTACATCCCGGTTCACAGCAAAAACTGCTGTACAGCAAGAGAGGAGAACGAGGTTTATTCATTTCTTTGTTCAAAGAAAAAAGGCAGCTTTGCATGTTGCCTTAGAACAAAAGATATCTCACACAGAACAGCAGCATCATTAACAACTATTCCTGTAGTCTTATCCCCCACATAACAAAACTCAAAGATCCTCAGATTACTTGCTACCTGACAAAAGCAAATCCGGATTCTGGGGACAGCAGTAGGAAAAGGGCTGAAGTGTCAGTGGGCTACTGGCTTTCCAATTGAAAAGTCAGCGGGAATTCTCGCAGTGCAGCAGCTCAGTGTAAGCCGCCAAGACAGCAGTCGTCCTGTTAAGAAAGTTAACATCTCTGTAGCTTTAGCTTGAATTTTATTTAAAAAAAAACTTTTAAAACAAAGATCTTGTTCTGATGTAGATGACATCTATATTTTCTATATTACCTTCAAAATCTAGATCTCACAATTGCTTGTAACTGTGCAGACACTGTCTGCCATTTGTTAATAAGCCCAGTGCCACATACCTGACACCAGAGTTATACTTGTTGCACTAAGGGATGCCATTATAACTCTGGTCGCAGCTAGCTCTGGGTCCCCTATTAATTCATAATAGGAATTATTCTGCCCAAAAATACACCTGTTATATTGTGCATATAATTTATATTGAAGTTAACAACTCTACTACAGACTGATTTAATTACAGGGCCTTATTCAGGTGAAAGTATTCACACATACTAACATGGTACAAGCACTGGCTGGTGAGGAGGCTTTTGACTGAGTGTTGTGGGCCTCCTTATTCCAGACTGGGAGTGCCCCAACCCAGTGTCCGATGTGTGGAAACCAACAGCCTTTCTACATCTGGGATACGCAGTATTTAGAGACAGCCCTTCACCTGCGAGAAGACTTCGATTAACCCCTCTGGATCAAATTAGCCTTCCTCCACAGTCTTTGGTTGGTGGCAATATAAAGACACATAGGCAGCCTTCTGGATCCCGGAGTCTGGGATACAGAGCAGAGAACTCCCTGCGAACTTTGTTAAAGAGACTCAGATGTGGCACCTGGCACTGCAGGTGTCTGTGTATACTACAGGTACACCCTCTGGAGAGGGAAACAGCACTGTCTTTGTTTCTAATTAACTGTGCAAAAAGTCCAACAATGGGAACATTAACGGCTTAACAGTAAGTAAGGAGGAACCTAAATTATCCCTCAACACTAAGGACATTCTCTTGAGTTTCTATGATCCTCTAACATCCCCATGTGATCTCATGACCTGCGCAGAAATAAACAGTTTATTACTGCAATAAAACTGGAGTTCTTGAAACAAACTGGTCTCACATATGAAAATTTACTTTATGTTTATGATACTGATAAAAAGCTCTTCGGAGCTCTTCGG